TTTGCCCCCACCCTGGAGCAGGCCATTTCAGAGGAGGATTAGTAAGGGCCCAAATGTAGTCCACCCCTAAGGGGCAGGGGGTTTTGTCCCCGCCCACACTATGTTCCCTGTAAGTGACCTCCCCCAGTAGCTCTACAAACGTAACCGTCACTCAATGAGGCATCTTGTCCCAACTGGACAGCCTGTCAGAAGAGATTTTGTGACGGGCCAAATCGTAGTCCAGCCTAAGGGGCAGGAGGGTTTCATGCTGCCACGCCTTGTTCATGTAAGTGACCTCCCCTGTAACTCGACAACAGTAAGCTTCACCGTGTGAGGCATTTTGCCCCACCTGGACAGGCCTGTCAGAGGAGGTTTTGTGACGGGCCAAATCTTAGTCCAGCCTAAGGGGCTGGGGGTTTCATGGTGCCACGCCTTGTTCCTGTAAGTGACCTGCCCTGTAACTCTACAACCATAAGCTTCACCATGTGAGCCATCTTGCCCCAACTGGACAGGCCTGTCAGAGGAGGTTTTGTGGCGGGCCCAATTGTAGTCCAGCCTAAGGGGTTGGGGGTTTAATGCCGCCACACTCTGTTCCGGTAAGTGGCCTCCCGTGTAACTCTAGGACCCTAAGCTTCACCATGTGAGCCATCTTGCCCCACCTGGTCAGGCCTGTCAGAGGAGGTTTTGTGACGGTCCAAATCGTAGTCCAGCCTAAGTGGCGGGGGGTTTCATGCTGCCACGCCTTGTTCCTGTAAGTGACCTGCCCTGTAACTCTACAACCCTAAGCTTCACCATGTGAGCCATCTTGCCCCACCTGGACAGGCCTGTCAGAGGAGGTTTTGTGACGGGCCAAATCGTAGTCCAGCCTAAGGGGCTGGGGGTTTTGTCCCGCCACACCTTGTTCCTGTAAGTGACCTCCCCTGTAACTCTACAACCCTAACCTTCACCACGTGAGGCATCTTGTGCTGGCTGGACAGGCCTGTCAGAGGAGGTTTTGTGACGGGCCAAACCGTAGTCCAGCCTAAGGGGCTGGGGGTTTCATGCTGCCACGCCTTGTTCCTGTAAGTGACCTGCCCTGTAACTCTACAACCCTAAGCTTCACCATGTGAGCCATCTTGCCCCACCTGGACAGGCCTGTCAGAGGAGGTTTTGTGACGGGCCAAATCGTAGTCCAGCCTAAGGGGCTGGGGGTTTTGTCCCGCCACGCCTTGTTCCTGTAAGTGACCTGCCCTGTAACTCTACAACCCTAAGCTTCACCATGTGAGCCATCTTGCCCCACCTGGACAGGCCTGTCAGAGGAGGTTTTGTGACGGGCCAAATCGTAGTCCAGCCTAAGGGGCTGGGGGTTTCATGCTGCCACGCCTTGTTCCTGTAAGTGACCTGCCCTGTAACTCTACAACCCTAAGCTTCACCATGTGAGCCATCTTGCCCCACTTGGACAGGCCTGTCAGAGGAGGTTTTGTGACGGGCCAAATCGTAGTCCAGCCTAAGGGGCTGGGGGTTTCATGCTGCCACGCCTTGTTCCTGTAAGTGACCTGCCCTGTAACTCTACAACCCTAAGGTTCACCATGTGAGCCATCTTGCCCCACCTGGACAGGCCTGTCAGAGGAGGTTTTGTGACGGGCCAAATCGTAGTCCAGCCTAAGGGGCTGGGGGTTTCATGCTGCCACGCCTTGTTCCTGTAAGTGACCTGCCCTGTAACTCTACAACCCTAAGCTTCACCATGTGAGCCATCTTGCCCCCCTTGGACAGGCCTGTCAGAGGAGGTTTTGTGACGGGCCAAATCGTAGTCCAGCCTAAGGGGCTGGGGGTTTCATGCTGCCACGCCTTGTTCCTGTAAGTGACCTCCCCTGTAACTCTACAACCCTAAGCTTCACCATGTGAGGCATCTTGCCCCACTTGGACAGGCCTGTCAGAGGAGGTTTTGTGACGGGCCAAATCGTAGTCCAGCCTAAGGGGCTGGGGGTTTCATGCTGCCACGCCTTGTTCCTGTAAGTGACCTCCCCTGTAACTCTACAACCCTAAGCTTCACCGTGTGAGGCATCTTGCCCCACCTGGACAGGCCTGTCGGTTTTGTGACGGGCCAAATTGGAGTCAGACCTCAGGCTGGGAAGGTCTGAGGCTGCAGGGCCTTGTCCCTGCCAGTGGATGGAACCGCAACTTTGTGCCATTATTTGGGACACTGTCAGACTGCGTGTGTCCTCCGGATAGCCTTGTTCGAGCTCGCTTGCTCCAGGTCTTGTCAGAGTGTTGCTGCAGCTCCTCTCCTGCATGCAACACCGCAACACTTGCACGCCTTTGATTCTTTCTCTCCCTGGTGTCCCAACTTGCTCCAGTTACACGTTGCCACCTACCCTCATCTGCATCTACCACCACTTGAGCCCTGTCAACATTCAAGCTCTGTGACTCCAGCAAAAGGGAGAGTACCCACACGTGCTCACTAAAACGCGACGACCTGCTCCACCCGCGCAGTGGTGACCACTAACGGCTGCTCGGATCAATTCCCGCAGAGCCGCTCCCACCGCATCCCAGCAAAAAGATAGTGATGTCTGTGAGATTCGAACTCACGCCCTTTCGGACTAGCGGGTCAACAAACCTTAAGCTAGCGCCTTAGACCGCTCGGCCAAAACACCTGATGTGACCTTCACGGACTTCCTTACCGCCCGGAGCCCACCTGCTTGTCGAAACTGCCGTCATCGCGTCTCTGGAGAGCCCCTCCCCTCGGCACCGCACTCTCGCCGCACACAACTGCTCGGCGGCAATCAGCAAGCACCGCTCGAGCACACGGCGTTCTCGTCACCGCCGTCGTTTCTGGTGCGCCCCACTCTCGTCCCTCGCTGCCCTTGCGCACCACAAACGCCTTCCCGCCTCTCTCTCGCGTTCTCCCAGGACCCCAGCTGACGACCAGCCTCCCCCGTCACGCAGACTGAGCGCTGCTGCTCCGCTCTGCGCAAACGAGAGCTGGCCACGCGCTCTGCTCGCCGGTCTCGGGCGCCTCTTGCCCGAGGAGGCGCCGGTCCGCGCGGAGAGGGGGCGCAAGGCGGTTCCGCGGACCTGCGGAAGCTCCGCGACCGTCTATCGCGCCCCTTTGCTGCGCGAGGCCTGCTCCCGCTTCGCTCGTCTCGCGCGCGGCTGCCGGTTCGAGCGTCTCTCGAGCTGTCGCTGTCTGCGCCCTCATGCGCCGTCCTTTGCCCGACCCGGCTCGCCCGAGGGTCGCCTCAAGCGACGAGATCTCAAGCGACGACAGCTCGTCGCGCTGCACCTCGGTCAAGGAGCTCGAGGCGGACATCGGCGGGGCATGGACGTCGCTCGACCTCCTCAAGCTCACGGTCGCGATCGTTGGTGCCCAGCTCTCTTGGACGGTCCAAACCTCGTGCGTCCAGCCACGACGCCCTTTCCGCACACTGTCGCGGCTGCTGACCTCGTACCCGCAGCTACGGGACGCCGTACCTTCAAGAACTCGGGCTCAGCAAGACGGGCACGAGCCTGGTGTGGTTCGCGGGCCCGCTCGGCGGCTTGATCGTGCAGCCCATCATCGGTGCGTCCTGCAGCTCCTCCCGCACTCGAGATGCCCCGAGGTGGCCGCCCGTGCGAGAGCTGATCCTCGAAGAGTCTCTGCAGGCGCCCTCTCCGACACGTCCCCGTCACGGTACCGACGCCGCCAGTTCATCGTCGCCGCCTCTGCCGTCATGGTCATCTCGACGACCGTCGTTGCCTTCGCGACTGCCCTCGCTCCCGGGCTCGTCGTCGCATTCGTCGGGCGCGAGGCTCGCTTCGAGGAAAACGCCAAGGCGCTCAGCATCGTTATGGCCATCATCGGCGTGTACGTGCTCGTCGCCGCGTTCAACGCTCTGCAGGCGAGCGTTCGAGTGCGTCCAAATCTCTCGCTCGACTTGGTGCGACGCCTGACGCAGCTCACACACAGGCCCTCGTTCTCGATCTTGCGCCTGCTCGCGAGCAATCCTCGGCCGACGCCTACCTGGCGCGCAACGTCAACCTCGCCAACGTGTGCGCCTACCTCGCCGGCTCGCTCGACCTCGACAAGACGCCGCTGTTGCGCTGGATCGGCGCGGGCCAGTTCCGCAAGCTCGCCATGCTCAGCTGTGCCGCTCTGCTCGTCACCGTCACTGTGACCTGCTCTACGCAGCACGAGCTCGAGCGTCCTGAGCTCCGGACCGCGGCGGGCGTGTGGAGCAAGATCCTGGGCGTCGTCCGCAACCTGTCGTCGAGCATTCGGACGCTTCCGAGGCCCGTCAAGAAGGTCTGCCTGGGTGCGTCTCGATTGCGCCTTCGAGCGCCTCTTCGTCTCATTCTGCAGCCTCCCACGGCGGGTGCTGACCAGCCTGCCGTTCCCAGTCCAATTTGCCCAGTGGTCCGCGGCCTTCCCCTTCATGTTCTACACGTGAGGCTCTCTCTCTCTTTCTCTCTTTTTCTCTCTCTCTCTCTCTCTCTCTCTGCGCGGCATCGTCAGAGCGCCGAGGGGCACAGGAGAATCGATATCTGACCTCCCACGAGCGCGCAGCACGACGTATGTCGCAGAAGCCGTCTCGGCCGCCGTCGCCCCTGGTTCACCCGCTCCGTCCGCCGACACGGCCACACGCGCCGGCTCGTTCGCCCTCCTCCTGTACGCCATCGTCGCCCTCGCCGCCGGTATCCTCTTGCCCCACCTCCCGACGCTCGCGACGACCTTCCCCTCTTTGGCCCGCCGCACCGGACGAGTCGGCCGCCGAGTGCTCTGCGCCCTCTCGATGCGCAACCTGTGGACGCTTTCCCTCGCCTGGCACGCGCTCTGCATGACGGCGACGTTCTGGGCGGGCAGCGTACGCGAGACGACTTGGGTCGTTGCCCTCGCCGGCCTGTCTTGGGCGGTGACGTGCTGGGTGCGTCTCGCCCTCTCACTCTCTGCCCGCACGGCACGATCCTGACCTCTCCTTCCCTCTCGCTGCCACTCTCGCAGGTGCCGTACGCTCTGGTCGGCGAGGCCATCTTCGAGGCCGAGGCCAAGGACGCGAGCGCCGAGCTGCACGCTGTGGCGGACTCGGCCGCTCTGCGTGCGTCGCTCCTCGGAGTTGACGTGCGCGGGCGAGCCGCTGCTGCGGCCGACGAAGCTGGCGGGACCGTCCTCGGCGTCCACAACCTGGCCATCGTCCTTCCTCAATTCGTGGTCGCCGCCCTCGCCGCGCTCATCTTCCGGCTCTCGTCGAGCTCAGCGTCCGCTCCGGACGAGCGCGACAGCGGCACCGTGTGGGTCCTGCGCCTCGGCGGGCTCGCTAGCGCCGTCGGGGCGGTCGTCTCGCGTTGGCTCGAGGAGCCGATGAGCGAGCGGCAGTACCGTGCTCGGCTCTCGCGCATCGGCGACGGTCGGCGAGGCGAGGTTGCAGACGAGGAGGCGCCTGCCGCCGGCTGTCGAGGCGGTTGAGGACCTGCAACGAGCCCCACTCCCCTTTGCCGCCCGCACAAGCACTGTTTCGTCGAGAGCTCAGCGAGAGCTCAGCGAGAGCTCAGCGAGTCCATCCTGTGACACTTGGCGAGGCTGTCTGCAAGCCAGCTTTGGGCTCTGCTCGCTCCCACAGCGACGACCTCGAAAGCCTCTCGGACCTCGCTCTCAACCTCGCTCTCAGCCTCGCACGAGGACTCGTACGTCGCCCAAGACTGGCGAGCAGTCCTCGACATTGCAGTGCTGCCCATGCGCAAAGGCTACGCCGGATCTCGGGCGTGCCCGCCCTCGGCGCCGGCTCCGGGCGACCCGTCCGCGCTGCCCGCCGCGCCGTACGCGACCCAGTCCCACCCACCGCCAAAAGGCGGCATGCCCGGCATCGCCCAAGGCGGCGCACCGAATCCGGGGCCCGAGAACATGCCGGCGCCCGGCGCTGGCGCGGTCGGACCCTCGGGTGCGGCAGCGCCGTCAAGGCTCGACAGGTGCGAGTACAGGTACTGCTCGCCGTACAGCCACGGCGGCGGGTAGCCGTAGCCGGTCGGGGCTGCGGCAGACGTCGAGCCGGGTGCGGTCGGGTCGTAGCCCGGCGGCGGAGGGCCTGGAGCCGGGAAGGGGACGCCGGCGCCTGCAGCAAGCCCGCCTGGACCGGGGACGAACGGGTTGGCGAACGGCGATGTCGCACTCGGGAGAGCGGCGTGGGCAGGAAGGACGGGCGATGCCGTCGAGGCGGCGGCGGGCGAGAAGCTGCCAAGAGCGGCGGCGGTCGGCGCTCCTGGTACTGCGGCCGAGTTCTTCTTGCTCTGCGCGCGCGAGAGACGGCGAGGGTCAGTCGCAGTCGCTGCGCAGAGACCGAGAGAAAGAGAGGGAGAGAGAGAAAGAGACGCACCTTGCGCTTGTCCTTGCGCAGGACACCTCCCTCGGCCCGCATGCGCTGCTCGTCTGCGAGGAGCGGAAGGACGAGCCCGAGCCCGCGCTCGGCGATCGCGCTCGCCTGCTTGAGCGCCTCGAGCGTCGGCAAGGCCTGGTGGATCTCGCGCCGGATGTCGTCGTTGTCGGGGCTCGCCTGCTTGAGCTGCTCGTACAGCTCGAGCGTGAGGCTGAACGACGCGACCGAGATGTGGTAGATGACCGTCCACAGGCGAATGCCGACGGCTCGAGGGGCCTCGCGCAGGATGGCGCGTGCGGCTTCGGTGACGCGACGGCGAGAGAACGAGTAGCTGTTGGCGCGAGACGGCTTGGCGAGGAAGGGTCGGTGAATCGAGAGGATCTTGTGCTGGAGCGAGATGAGGAAGGTCGAGCGCATCATCTGCGGTCGTGAGGAGGACCGTCAGGATGCGGCACGGCACGTGGAAGGAGAGAAGCGAGGGGGAACAGGCGGGAACGTACTTCGACCCGCCCAGGTAGCCCTTCTCCACTCGCGTCGGCCTTGAGCCACCTCGGGAGGTTGCCGAGCAGCGCCTCGAGCTGCTTGTCGGCCAACAGGAACGACTGATAAGCCTGGGACGCGCTCTTGTCCGACACTGCGTGCTCGAACGCGCTCGACATGGCCGACCCAATCTCGATGTCTGGTTCGAGGGAAGGCTGTGAGCATGCCGCCCAAAGAGCGCAAGAGGGCGAGGCTGGACGCACACAGCAACAGCCACGACGCGCCGGTGTACTCGTCGCGAGGTCGGTCGACAAGCTGGCCCTTGGACAAGTCCCTGCAGTACGCGAGCGTGAGCGTCGTTCCCAAGGCGAGGCAGGGAGAGGAGGAAGGGGCGACGCACTCGTCTGTCGCGTTGAGAGGAAGCGGCGTCGCGACCTGGAGCCGCGTGAGGAGCGAATAGCCCTTGAACGGGATCGCGAACCACTCGCTGTGGACGAGCGCCCACACGACGCGCTTTTTGACCTCGCGGTCGACGAGCGCCTGCGCCCGCACGCGCGTCGGCCGACCCTTGAGCGCCGCGTCCCACTGCTCATCGGTCGCGAGGCGGTGCAGGCCCATGTCCTGGGCGAGCGACAGGCCGGCGCTGAGGAGCGAGGCGATGAGGGTGGCCGAGCCGGCGTCGCGACCCGACAGGACGAGGAGGGCGATGGCCTGCAGGCACGACAGGTCTTGGTGCTGGAGGAAGTTGTGGCGGTACAGGCAGGCGACCGAGCACAGGAAGAACCGGCTCGCGGCGGCGCTCGTCTCGGCCTCGGTCCAGCCCAGGTCCTCCTGCTGCTCGACCTCGACGAGCTTGGTCGACACGGCGGCGAGCGCGAAGTACATGCTCATCCACGCGAGCGAGCCCGACTCGAAGCGCGACTCGCCGAGGTCGCGGAACGCGGCGAGCTGGGCGTAGAAGGTCGGGGCGTGAACGACGGCGTGCTGCGCAAGGGTGGGCAACGACGTCAGGAACCCGACGACGTGGGGAGAGGACGAGTGAAAGGAGGGCGTACGTGGAACCCGTACACCTGCAGCCCCTGCGAAAAGATGACGTCCTCCTGGTCCGGCGTCGGCGCCGCGTCAAAGAGCGCTTGCGCGTCCGGGTACAGCTCGACAGGGCTCTCTGGCTGCGGCTCGGGCGGCAGGACGGCGCGCCGGATGGACGGGCTCGCGAGGCCGTCGTCGTCGTCGCCGTCGCCGGCGGCATCCGGCGGGCGAGCGTTCGACTCGTGCCAGACGCGAGGGCGGCCGAGCGAGTGGAACTCGAGGTCGATGGCCGCCTGGACCGCCGCCTCGCTCTCGTCCGGGTCCTGCTTGACGGCCGACACACGTTGGCGCTTCTTGGGCGGCTCAGAGGTCGGTGCGGAAGTCGAGGTCGAGGCGGCGGGGAAGAGGGAGGAGCCGGACGGGTCGTCGCGAGCGCCGCTGATCTCGGTGACGGGGTCGCCAAAGCTCTTGACGATGGCGTCCATCTCGGCGGCGTCTTCATCGTGAGCTGCGCTGCTGCTGCTGTGCGCGACGTAGTACTCGAGGGCCGGCAGACGGGCCTTGAGCGACTCGAGCGTTGAACGAAACAGGCGCAGCTCCTCGAGCGCTCCTTGCTGACGCGCCGACAGGTCACGGGCAGGGTCGACACTGCGGGTCGCTCGGAACAGAGTCAGCTGGGTCTCGAGATGCGGCCGAGGGAGGGGGGTCGAGGCGCACGACGGCTTCTTGCGCTTGGTGGGCGCCGCGACACAGGCCGATGCTGCGCCCCGCTTGACGCACGCGCCACAGGGCAGGTTCCTGCGCGGGCGAGGGCGTGACCGGGTCAGCTGTCGCACCGAGAGAAAGACAGAACCGAACCGGCCGACGAGAGATGAAGAGCTGGACGCACCGGTCGCACGCAGTCTTGCGGCGCGAACACTGCAGGCGGGACGCGGGGTGTCAGTTTACTCTCTTGTGGCAGCGCGCATGTCGCTCGAGGCGTGTGGGTGGACGAGCCGTGGTCGGCGGGCGAGTGGAGCTGCGCTCGAGGAGGGGACGACGACGACGACGCAAGGGACGAGGGACGCACCTCTGTGCATGAGCGGGCAGACCTTCCAGGTAGAACGACGACCTCGGAGTGCTCGTCGGCCATGAGCAGCGTGGGAGAAGGCTCGCGAGGCCGCCGGCGTCTCTCGAGCTCCCTTTCAGCCGAGCCGAAGATAGCGGCTCGCTCTCGTGTACGAGGACTCGAGTGCAGGTTGGACAGAGGCAACGACGATGCAGTGCACGACAAAGAAGTACCCGAGCAGAACGGGAACAAGACGCTGCCGCCTCGAGCCTCCTTGGGCTCGAACCTGCTCCGAGTCGTCCTGCGCCCTCACAGCTCGGGCAACGACATCCAGTCAAAGCCCCACGCCGAGCCGACGTCGCCAAAGTGCACCTCGTTGGGCGACCCGGCGAACCCGGGCGTGCCCGCGCTCTGCGCCGCATAGTACGGCGCGTCGACGAGCAAGCTGCGGCCGTCGCCCGTGCTCGGGTCGGGCGCCGGCAGCGCCACCTGGTGCGCGTACGCGAACGTGCCGTCGGCCGTCTGCGCGCCCGGTGCGCCCGCCTGCGCCGCGACGCGCCGCTCGGCCTCGGTGACGGCGACGCTGACGCGCTTGAGGAGCTGGCCGAACGGCTCCTTGCGGCCGTTGGGCGTGCGGGCGTGCAGCGCCTCGAACAGGCACTGGATGACGAGGAGGCTCTGGCGCGCGACGGTGCGCACTCGAGGGCGGACCGAGCCGAGCGCGCGGTGGAAGGCGAGGGTCGAGTCGGACACGAGGCGGTAGTCGGCCGTCGGGACTTGCCGCTCTGGGTCGTGGTGCGTCCAGATGTCGAGGAACAGGACGACGACGGCGACCTGGACGTGATTGAGCTGGTAGCAGTCCTTGACGAGCGGCGCCGAGGTGCGGTCGAGCTCCTTCTGCGTCTCGAGGACGATGCGTGCAGCGGCGAGTGCGGCGTCGGTCGATGGGCGGAAGGCGGGCTCGCGGTAGCCGCGCGACATGACTGTGTGAGCAGGCTGTGGTCAGTTTGCGGCACACGAGGAAGAGAGAGAAAGCGGGCGCACAAGGTCGGTGAAAGCGGATGAGGCGGATGTTGACGTTCTGCAGCGAGAAGATGCGGGCCCAGAACAGCGTCGTCGGCTCGTTGGGCTTTGGCCGCTCGAGGTCGTACTCGGCGATGAGATTCCTGCGAGCGAGACGGCGGGTCAGTCGGCTCGCGAGGGAAGGAGTAGAGGGAGGACGAGGCGACGGACCTCAGCTCGGTGTCGTTCTTGAGCACGGTCGAGTACTCGTACGACGGGTCGAGGATGACGGTCTCGTGGAACGCTCGCTGAACCATGCCGACCCGGAACCGGAGCGTCTGCGGGGCGAGGCGAGTCAGTGGCGGCGGGGGAGTGAAGGCGAGGGAGGGGAAGCGGGACGCACCTCGTAGCAGGCAATCGTGCGCACGCTCGGCGGCTGAGGCGGGACGATGGCGTCGCTGCGCAGGTCTTTGTCGTCGTAGTTGCCCGGCATCGAGCACGACACTGTCCGAGGGCCCGAGGCAAAGTCAGCTCGCGAACGACTTGCCGGACGAGCCCGAGAGAGAGAGGTGGGCGCACCGAGATGAAGTGGGAGGACAGGGCTGTGGCGGAAGATGACCTGGTCGAGGTGGAGCAGGGCGTGGAAGAGGCGCAGAGCGACCTCCCTGCGGAGAGTGTTCTTGCCCGACGGGAGGGCCGGGTCCTCGGGCGGCATCGTCGTCGGGTCCGACCCGAGCTTGTCGAGGCGGAGCTGCTGCGCGACGCGGACGTTGGCGGCGACGTAGGGCAGGAGGACGTCGACGCGGCCCGGGTCGCCCGAGTTGAGCGCGAGCGGGCCGAGGAGGATGACGGCCTGGATCGAGCGCAGGCGCGCGACGCCCATGGCGTCGCCGCAGTCGAGGGCGGCACGGCCGGCCTCGAAGTAGTCGGGCACCATCGTCGTGAGCTCGTCGGCGGTAAAGTCGGACCCGGGCGGGACGTAGTCGAGCGAGTTGGCGGCGTGGGCGAGGGTGAGAAAGAGGACCGCGAGCCACAGCGGGTCGACCTCGAACTGCTTGCCCTCCTGCAGCAGCGTGCGGAACGCGTCGTACTCGGCGAGGAACGTCGGCGCGTGGTGGGCTGCAGGCAGGACGAGACATGAGCGGGGTCCGAGAGGAGAAGAAAAGAGGAAGCGGGACGCACCAACCCAGAACCAGCTCAACGAGCCGACATAGCTGCTCACGAGCCAGTCCATCTTGGCCTGACTCGGGAGCGTCGCGTACAGGTCGGCGAGGACGCCGCGGTACCGCCTCGAGATCTCGGGGCCGAGGAGCGACGCGCGCTCGCGCGACCCGCCCGGCGGCGGCGGTGCGGCGGCGACCGGGAGCGGCGCCGCGCTGCTCGTGCTCGCGACGGGGCCAGACGAGCTTGCGACGGGTGGTGCGGGGCCGTTGGTGCGGCGCGGCTGGTGCGGCTGGCCGATGCGCACGTTGACGGCAATGTCCTCGAGCGTCATGGCGGCGTCCTCGGTCTCCGAGTCGGGCCCGTCGGTGTAGGGCGGCTGCGACGCGCTGTAGCGGAAGCCGTTGGCGCTCGCAGCGCTGCGAGAGGACCGAGGGCGCTGACCGTGGCCGCCGCCGAGGGCGAGGCTCGCCTCGAGCGCCTGCACCCGCCGCTCGAGGTCGTCGCGGTGCTCGGCGCAGCTGTCGGTGCACAGACCGCCGCCTGTCACGCTCCCGCCGCCGCCGCCACTGGCGCCGAGGCCGCCGCCGACGAGAGGCCCGCCGCCGCCGCCGCCGAGGCCGTTGCTGCTGCCGGGCGTCGGGTGCGACGACGACGACGAGGCGATCGCCGACCCGGCGTCGCACGAGCTCGACTCGCCGCGCTTCTCGCACGCCTTGCAGGGCGTCCCTGGACCACCCTCGCGCTCGCACCGGATCTTCCTGTGAGGCGTGCAAGAGGAGAGGAGGAGGGTCAGCATCGCGTTCTCGGCTAAGTCCGTTTGCCCGAGGCGGAGAGAGCTAGGGCGGCGTACCTGGTGGTGCAGGCGCGGCAGGAAAAGACCTGGCGGCGGCGGGTAATCTTGCGCTTGACCGAGGGCGGGCCGGACGAGCCCTGGGCGTCGTGCTGGTGGTGGTGGTGGGCGAGGTGCGCCGACGAGGTGGACGCGATCGGGTCGAGGAGCGGGTCATGGCCCACGGGCGGCGAGGGGGCAGAGTCGGGCTCGAGGCGCTTGAGCGGCCGGGCAGGGCTCGGCTGGTGGTGCTGCTGGTCCATGGCGCGCAGCACGGGGGGAGCGAGGACGGAACGAGGGAGGAGAGAACGAGTCGGCCGGTCGAGGCCTCTCTCGGGCGACGGCGTCGTGACGATCGGCGAGTCCGTGTTCGCAGTTTCTGCTCGTCCGCGCGTCCTTCTCCTCGACCTTTTGCACGAGGTACGTGCGCAGAGAGCAGCTCTTTCTCTCCCGTGCACTGCTCAGGGCGACCCGCCGACCCACTCTTCTCGCTGCACTGCTCGCTTTCCGGCGTCCTCTCCGAGTCGCACTCGGCCGTACGCGGGGCGAGCGCATGCCTGCTCAAGGACAAGGACCGAGCGTTGCGAGAGCAGGCACAAGGACAACAACATTTCTACCTCGCTGCGTCATCGTCGAGAGCACCGCCGCCCGAGCCCACCAACTCGGAGCTCGGGGATGTGCGGTCCGTCGCGACGACGCTGCCCACGGGCGCCTGCGACCTGCGCCCTGACCCTCGTCCTCCCTCCCCCCTCGCCCTCGCCCTCGCGTCCCGCCTCAAACGACGATCCCGAACCTGCCGCACACGAGCGCGCGCGTCGTGCCCTCCTGCTCGTGCGTTGCCGTCGCGCCCGCACGCTGCGCCCGCCCGCTCAGGCCAGCCTCGTCCCACTCGACGCGCGGCCCGTCCTCCGGCTCCTGCTCGTCCCCCTCCTCGTCCCGCTTGACGTCGCGACGCTCGCGCTCGCCCTGTCCCTCGCGTTCGCCCACGCTGCGCCGCTCCCGCTCGCTTGCCCTCGCGCGCCAGTCGTCGGCGCCCTCGCGCGGCGGGAGGACGACCTCGCGGAAGGGGTCCCACACCCAGGCTTGGGCGCCGGGGCGGACCCAGCGCAGGTCGGGCGGGACGGTCGGGATGACGAGGGAGCGCGGGCGGGTGCTCGACGTGGTGGTGCGCTTGGTCGGTGACGAGGGCGGCGGTGGCGCAGGAGGAGGAGGAGGGACGGACGAGGCGGCGGCGGAAGAGGAAGACGAGCCGGACCGCTCGTGCAGCGAGAAGAGGACGAGCCCGACGAGGTCGTCCGACCCGGACGAGGACGAGCTCGTCGCGCTCGGCGGCAGCACGATGCGGCAGCGCGCGAGGACCGACTTCTGCCCTGCGCCGCGTCGGCGGTCCGGCGTCGTCGAGCCCGAGCCCGCGCCCGCGCCAAGCTCGTCGCCCGGTGATGAGGAGGGCACGTCGACGACGACGAGGCGGATGGCGGGCTTGAGCGCTTGCGCGAGCTCGTCGAGCGCGAGGCCGCCGCCGGCCGATGTCGCGCTCGAGGACGACGCCGAGGCGAGGCGGCGCGACAGGTCGTGCAGCCACAGCGTGTAGTTGGTGCGTGTTGCGGCGAGGATGGCCGACGCGCGAGCGGCCATGCCGGACCTGCACGTCGAAGGGAGGATCCGTCAGGGCCGCGCTCGTGAGGCGCACGCGAGAGCGAGAGGAACCAGCCGACGCACACGATGTACCCTCCCTTCTTCTTCCTCGGGCTCCACAGTTCACTCTCTCCACCCTCGTCCACGCCGCCGTCCTCGCCCGCGAGCGGCGGCACGTCCCTGAGCGGCGGCGCGCGCGCGAGGATGCCCATCTGCGCCGCCTTTGCGCTACCGCCGACGTCCTCGCGCTTGATCGCGGGCATCGAGAGCTGCTGTGGCAGACCGCGCATGAGCTGCGAGGGCGTCGTGAGCGCCGAGCTGGACGCGGGAGCGGCGGCGGCGCGACGAGGGGTCGAGGGTCGAGCGGCGACGGGCGGCTTGGACAGGGACGAGAGGCGGTGCATCGAGGAAGACGTCTTGGACGGACTCGGCGCTCGGGTGCGGGTGGCGGCGACGATCGAGGGTTTGGGCGTGGTGCTGGTCGCTCGGGACGAGGCGGCGGGGCTGAAGTCGAAGGCCGAAACGGGGCGGAACGAGGTGGGCGCACTAGGCATTGGTCGCGCTGTGGGAGTGAGAGCGTCAGTGAGGGCGAGGCCGACGAGAGCGGCGGACGCACCCTTGACCTCGTCTGCTGAACGGGCGGCACTTCGACTCGACGGGCCGACAGGCTCGTCCTTGACCGCGCGCCCTTTGCCCTTGCCCGACGTGTGCGCCTCGAGCTGCCAGGCGATCAGCTCGTCATCGTCGGCGAGGATGCGCTTGGTGCGCTTGGTCGCGGGTTGCTGAGGAGCGGTGGACGCGGCGGTGCTCGTCGTGCGAGATGGGGCGGGTTGTGCTCGGGCTTGAGGTCGTCGCGCGGCAGCTCGAGAGGCTGAAGGAGCAGAGGGACCCGGGGCAAAGCTGCGCAGGGCTGTGGGCTGGTCGTAGTCAGCGACGGTCCGACAGGGAGCGAGGTGGGGGAAAGGCGGGCGCACGAAGGAGAGCTGGCTCGCCGACCTGTGCGGGCTCGCCTTGGGGGTGTAGAGGGTGTGTGTCGCGGCTCGTGGAGGGCTCAGGGCCTGCTAGAGTGCGAGTCGAGGTGCGCGACGACGGGGCGGTGCTGGCGGCGATGACGGCGGCCGGACGAGGAGGAGGCGGCAGGCGAGCGTCGAGGGCGGCAAAGGCGGTCACGGGGCGGAGCGTCTCCTTGGCTGGCATGCAGGCAGAGCTGGCCCGCAGCCGCTTGGTGCGGGGGAGAGCGAGAGAGGTTGGCTCATCAGCGAGAGGAGGTCGACCTCTCCTTCCTCCCTCAGGTGTGCCTCTGTGGCAGAGATGGCTGCACAAGGAGTCACAGGAGACCTGCTCTGCTTGATCGTGCGTCCACCCTACCCTCCTCGCGCCGTCCCCGCTCACCTTCTCCTCCTCGTCCTCCTTCCTCTCGCCCCGCCTCCCGCAGATCGACCTCAACCCAGCCGCATGGGCCCAGTCGGGCCAGCCAGGTCCTCTAGCAGGCGACTCGCTGTCACTCGAGCAAGCGCTCGACCACGCCCTCGTCTTCTGCAACGCCCACCTCGCCCTCCGACACGAGAACCAGCTCGCCGTCTTTGCCGCCGCACCAGGCCTCAGGTGCGCCCAGCGTCTCCTTGACTCGTCCATGCGAACGAGTCGCAGTACTGACGCTCCCGCGCGAAACAGCCGCCAGCTGTTTTCGTCCCACTTGTCCCCCACCACGGCGTCGACCTCGGCCGCCTCGGACAGCAACATCTATCAGCAGTTCCGCATCGTCGATGAGCGTGTCACGCAAGGCGTCAAGGACCTCATGCGCGAGCTGCCAGACGACCCTCCAACAGGTGAGTGTCGTGCCGCCCTCTCAGTCCTCGTCCTCGAGTCCTCATTGAACCCTCGCTCTCTCTCTTGCAGGCGCCAACCTCGTCGGCGCGCTCTCCATGGCTCTCTGCCGTGCGTCTCCTCTCTCTCTCCATTCGCCTCCCGTACTCGCAAGGTCCCGCTCTGACGCAGCCCTTGCTCCTGCCAGACATCAACCGCTTGAACGCGACCGACGCCTTTGCCTCGTCGGCCGCCTCGCGCAAGGCTCGCCCACGTATCGTCGTCCTCAGCGTCACCCAGGATTCGAGCGCGCAGTACGTGCCGATCATGAACTGCATCTTCACGGCGCAAAAGAACGTGCGTCGCGCCAACTGTCTCTCCTCCCTTTCCTCCTTCTACCCCCTCGCGCACCTTGTCTGACGCACAGAGCGCCCGTCCGCCCTCGCAGAACATCGAGATCGACGTGTGCAAGGTGTTCGGGCCCGACGCCGTCTTCCTCCAGCAGGCGTGCCACTTGACGAGCGGCGCCTACTTCAAGCTCGAGCGGCGCGCCGCCCTCTTGCAGTACCTCCTCGTGCGTCCTCACGCTCTCTCGACGTCTACCCTTTCCCTCTCGGCGACGACTGACGATGCACGCCCCCCATTGTCGCAGGTCGGCTTCCTCCCCGGCGCGGCGGCGCACAAGAACCTCATGCAGCCGCGGCAGGAGCACGTCGACCTGCGCGCAGCGTGCTTCTGTCACCGCCGCATCGTCGACATCGGCTACGTGTGCTCGGTGTGCCTCTCGAGTGCGTCGGCGTCTTTCTCTTGGCCTCGTCGAGCTCTCGTCGTGCACGTCTCGCTGCACGACAAAGGCTGTAGTCGCGGGCCGAGACTGACCTTCTGTGCACGTCCCTCTCGCGCATCACAGTCTTCTGCAGTCCTCTTCCTGTGTGCTCGACGTGCCGGTACGTCCTCACCTTTCCCTCACTTTCTCGCGTTTCTCCTCTCCTCGCTCGACCTCTCGAGCCAAATTGGCGACCTCGACTGACTCGCACTCTCCTCTCTTTCCTCGTCCTCCTTCCTTCTCTCCATCCTTCCTTCCGTCCTCGCCGCACCACCCGATCCGCCTCCGCTCCCTCCCCTCTCGCCCGGCCCCGACCCACCTTCGCCCTCTCACTCCTCCCTCGCCGCCCTCCTCCCCATCCACCTCTCCCGCCCTCCCTCCCCGCCTCTCCTCCCACCCGCAGCACCAAGTTCCCCATGTCGACCCTCAAGCGCCTCGGGTTCGGCGCCGCCCCAGGAGGAGGAGGAGGAGGAGGAGCGGGGCTCGCGCGCCCGAAGAAGCGCAAGGCGCCGCCTGGGGGAGCGGCGGGCGCGAGGGCGTCGCCTGCGCCAGGAGTGGCGGGAGCGGGAACTGGAGGAGGGGCAAGTGCGAGGGGTACGCCGGCGCCGGCGGCTGGGGCGGCGACAGGAGGAGGAGCTCAGGCGGGCTGAGGCGGCGCGGCGCGCTCGAGCGGTCGTCGAGCTGGTCGGCGAACAGACGGACGTAGTGCGGTCCCTGTTGTAACACGCGTTGCGCCGTCGCACTCTCCCGCACACCTTGCCACTTGCGACTCTCGCTCTCGTGCCTCTCGCTCACTCGCTCGCTCGGACCCGCTCAGAGAGGACGACGAAGAGCGGGAACGACCTATTTTCGACAGCCAGGACTTTGTGATGCGAGGGGGTAGAGAGAGAGAGAGACAGACAGCGAGGGCAAGAGGGAGAGAAAGGGAGGGAGCGAGAGAAGGAGATGCGGGGAGGAGGAGATGGGGGGTGGGGTGGGTCCGACGACGACGACCCGACGGTGCGCGCTCTACGACCTCCTGTGCGCGCTCTTCTCCTCAGGGACGATGACGTAGCAACGAAGCCGTTTACTGCGAGCGCGAGAGGGTCGGTCAGTTGCTGGGCCCGGAAGAACGAGAGAGGAGGGGAGAGAGAGGGAGACGCACAAGCTCGTCGTGGCGGCCCGACTTGACCTCGGTCTCGCCGTCGAGCTCGGCCTCGACGCTGTCCGGCTCGTTGATGTCGTTGGTCGCGTTGGCCTCGAGGAACTCGACGAGCGAGTCGAGCGAGCGGTCGCCCTCGTAGCTGATCCACTCGCTCGAGCCGGCCGCCTTGAACTTAATGGTCGGGAAGCCCGCGACGCGGAACCCGGCCGAGGGCGGCACGTCGTTCTCGGTCGCGTCAAACTTGGCGACCGTGAGCTTCGACTTGACGTTGGCGTAGCGCTCGCCGAGCGTGTCCCAGGTCGGCTTGAGCTTCTTGCAGCTGCGGGCGCGCGCGAGTTCGAGGCATGGTCAGGGGCAGTCCCTCAGAGAGCGAGACAGAGAGAGAGAGAGAGCCGAGACGCACTGGCCGCACCACGGCGCGTAGAACTCGACGAGGAGGTCCTTGTCCTCGGCAACGACGTCGTCAAACTCGTCGGCGACGAGGACAAAGACGGGCTCGTCCTGGGCGGGCGCCTTCTGCGACTTGATCGAGGCCTTGATGTTGCCGGCGACAAAGTCCTTGACAAAGGCCGCGACCGTGTCGTGGTCGACGGGCTTGGACTGGTCGAGCGGGTACTTGGTCATCTCCTGGATGTTCTGGATCGCGAACGCGGGCCAGGTCGGCTCCTGGAGGTTGAGCGACTTGGCGTGGTCGGCAAACTGTGAGATCCGCGAGGCGAGTCAGACACCGGCTCGTCGTCGAAAGAGAGAGAGAGAGAGGAGGGGACGAGAGGGAGACGCACCTTGTTGGCGTCGATCCAGACAAAGTTGATCTTGCCCTTGTGCTCGCGAGCGACGGGCTCGACGGCCTTGACGACCTCGTCGCGCTTGGCGTCGGTCGAGGGGATAAAGATGTAGGCGAGCGGGAGGCCGGCCTCGGCGTACGTGGCAAAGTTGTCGGGCGAGATCTCGTCGAGGAGCGGGACCGAGTGCTCCTTGGCAAACAGGAAGAGCGAGTCGTCGGTGATGTCGCCCTCGAGCTCGTTGCGGCCCTCGTCGAACGACTTGTACATGACGACGGCGGGCGGGGTGACGCCGGCGGCGGCGATGGCGGCCGCGTCGGTCGACAGGCCAAACAGGTAATCGTCGCGGTACACGTCGGCAAACTCCTTGAACGTCTTCTGCGTCTTCGAGTCGGACGCGTCGGCGTAGGCGACGAGGACGACCTTGTCGGCCGTCTTGAACTCGTCGTGGTTGGCGGCCGTCACCTCGGACACGGCCGGGAGCGCCTGCTTCTTCATGTACGACACGATGCCGTCCGTCTTGCGCGTGCCCGAGTAGTCGGACGCGACGCCCTTGCGGAACACCTTGAGCGTCCTGCGGGCGCGGCGAGGGCGAGAGGGAGCGAGCGGGTCAGTACGAGACGCCTGCATGGGGACCCTCGAGGACACAAGAGTCGGCGAGAGAGGGGACGCACGGGTAGCCGTTGACGCCCTGGGACGAGCACAGCTCGGTCTCGACGGTGCAGTCGACCTTGGCGATGTTGATCTTGTCCTTCTTGAGAATCGTCGCCGCCTCCTCGTACTGTGGCAGGGTGTCAGGAACGAGTTAGTACGTGTCCACGTGCCAATCCCGTCATCCATCGACGCCGGGACGTGAGGAACGTCGACGCCGCCGAACGACGAGAGAGGGAACGCGGCTCACATGCGGGGCAAGGGCCTTGCAATGACCGCACCTGTTGACGACAAGGGGAGTGCGAGAGGTCAGTAAGGGCGTCCTGCACGAATAGGACGCTGCAGAGAGGTCGCCTCGCGCGACCTGCGAGATGAGGTGAGCCCGGCGGCGCAACCCGGACGTCCGCCGTCGCGCTGGCGAGCCGCTGCTGCCTGCGGACTGCAAGTTTGCGGATGCTGTGCGGCACTCGAGATGCTCCAGCACCTCGCACGAGCGCGCCACGGCGTCGAGCACGCGAGCGTGCAGCGTGTGTCGCCCTGGTGCCGCGCCTCGGGAAGTCCTCGCCACCGGCCCACCTCGCTCTGCAAGTTGCTGACCGGCGCACGCAGGAGAAGGAGAGAGAGGGGACGCACCAGGGAGCAAAGAACTCGACCAGCGAAGGCGAGTCGCCCTGGACGAACGCCGGGAACGAGTCCTTGGTGAGGTCGGCCACGTCGGACGAGGCCGAGGCGACGGCGGCGAGCGCGGCGAGAGCGAATGCGGTAGTGCGCATCTTGGATGTCCTGCGGGTGATGGAAGCCGCGAAGGAGAAGGAGATGGAGGAAGGGGAGGAGGAGGAGGAGGACGGACGCGTCGACGTGGAGCTCTCAGCGAGTTGACGCGGGTGGATCACCTCAGCTTTCTGGCGAGCGCGGAACCAGGATTGAACGCGAGGCCAACGACAGTCCTCGGCCTCACACTTTCCCGACAACAAGCAGCCTGCGCGCCCTCGTCCTCGTCCTCGTCGGAGGTGAAATGGCGAGACTCGTTTTCGCAGACGTGCACAAGCTCGTTCCGGTGCAAGCGGGTCGGCAAAGCGTGTCTCCCCACTGTACGGACAGGTCTACACGCGCAACACTCGCTCCAAGAGAGAGCGACGAGGTGCAATCGGTCGAGAGAGGTGAAACGCGCTTCTCAACTCTCGACGGTCACCCTCCCACCGCCGTCCGGCAACCGCGAGCAGGGCGCCGATGCGGATAGCTGGGCTCGTGCTGGCCGCAGTGCAGCTCGTCGGAGCTGCGGCGGCCCTTGCCGGCTCGTCGAGCGGCGTCAACCCGCCGCTGTTCGCCTCGTCCTCGTCGTCTCGAGGCAACCACTCGCTGCCGACGTTTCACACGTCGCTCGCGTCGCTCCTGCCCGTCCTCCCGCACCTCGCACCACCACCCGACCACACCCTCGTCGTCACCCTCGCCACCCCAGCCTTCAAGCCGTTGCTGTACAACTGGCTCTGCTTCCTCCGCGACAAGGCCAAGTGGGGCGCGTTCCCGTCGCACAACCACCACGGCGAGCCGTACGAGCCCTCGAGCCGCGTCGCACGACACGCCGACGTCCCCAAGGTCCTCGTCGTCACGAGCGACGAAGCCCTCGCGCGCGAGCTGAGCGACCACGGCGTCGTCACCTGGTGGGTGCGCGGCACCGACTGGGAGGCCGTCGACCTCGCCGACGAGCTCGACGACGACGACCCGGACAAGGACGCCATGCTCACCTACGCCGAGCGCACCCTCGAGGACGACCTCTTCTCCAACCTGCGCCTCCTCGACCTCCTCCTTCCGGCAGAACCGCCCGCCGACGCCAACGCCGCCGACGCGCCCGCCACCATCCCGTGGGGCACGCTGCGGTACCAGAGCCTCATGCTCGAGCGCACGGCCGTCATGAGCGCCCTCGTCGGCGCCCTCGCCAAGAGCCAGCGCAGCGACCCCGAGTGGCGCAGGGCCGCAGACGCCGCGTGGCAGGACAGGGTCCTCGCGCACGACTGGGAGACGGGCCCGCTTCCTGTTCCTGAGTTCGAGGGCATCAAGGGCGTCCTCCTCGTCGACAACGACGCCGTCTGGTGCGTCCCCTCTTTTCCTCTCTTTTCGCCTCTAGTTCCGCCCGCTCACTCTCGCTCCCTCGTCCCTGCAGGCTCTCGTCGCCGAACCCGTTCCTGTCGCACTTCTACCGCCCGACGGGCCCTCATCCCGCCATCATCTTCGCGCCCGACATGGACCCGACGACGCGCAACGCGTGGGGCACGCACGCCATGCCGTGCGCGTGCTTCTTCTACTCGCGCGTGACGGACGCCGGCGCACAGCGTGCCGCCCCGACGCACGGCGCCGACGGCGCGCCGCTCGACCCGTACCTGTACTCGCCGGCGTCGGGCGCGGCCGAGGTGTGGCGCGCGACGACGCTGTGCCACATCTCGATGCTCCAGGAGGCGCACGAGGAGGGCAAGCGCCTCACGCAGTGGCGACGAGCGCGCGAGGACGCCCCACGCGACCAGACGATCTCGCCCGAGCTCGACCTCGGCGGCGCGCCGGCGCAGCGACCACCCGAGGCGCGCGCGCCCTCGTTCCAGGCGACGGCGCTCGGGCCCGCCGTCTTCCTGTCGGAGCAGCCGGCCGCGTTCCTGCCCGAGATCTCGCACGAGCGGTTCCTGACGGCGCTCGGGTCGGGCGAGGTCGAGGACCTGCTCGACCTCCTCGAGGACGCCGAGCTCGACCTCAACCCGGCGACGGGCCGCGCCGACCGCGGCCGGTCGTGCCTCGCGCTCGCCCAGGCCCAGCAGACGACGTGCGTCAACCCGCTCGCGTCGAGCGAGCTCGGCGCGTTCGCCACGTCGCTCACGCGCGAGTACCTCGAGCACGTCCTGCGCGCGCCGGCGCCGCACAAGGCCGTCCGGGTCGAGGCGCTCCCGTTCGACGTGTTCCCGCCGGGCATGCGCTTCTTCGACGGCGGGCTTGAGCCGGGCGCACGCCCCTGCGTCGTGCACGCCAACTACGCGACGGGCAGTATGAAGGAGCAGCTGCTGCGCAAGCGCGGCCTGTGGGCGCTCGTGCGGCCCGAGGACGGCGGCGGCGAGTGGCGGTGCGACGCCGAGGTCATCGCGAGGGCGTAAGTAGACGTCGTGTGCAGTCCTTCTTTGTCAATACATCCCCCACGAGTTTATCTTGCAGCCGGCGAGGGCTCGAGCGAGGAGGACGCGCAACTTTCGAGCCGGTTCGTCCACTTCCTTCTTCCCACCTTGCTCTCGAGCGGGTTCTGACTCTTTCTGTAACCTCGCTGTGCACAGCTTGCAGGCGAGCGAGCGAGAGCGTCTGAGAGAGCGAGGTCGGCCCGACCCTTGCGCGTTCCTCGTCCCGCTTCCCCTTCTTCCTCCCTCCTCCGCCCTCGAACCTCCTCGTCTCGCACGCCGCGGGTCGGCGCCAGCTCCACTCGATCAGCCTCCTTCCTGCGAGCCCTCTCGGCCTTCCCCTAGCCGCCGCAAGGCGCACCCGGCCCTCCTCGCCTCGTCCAACCTCGCGCGACCTGATGAGCGACCTCGTCCAACACGGCTCGCCCGGGCCTGCCACCGCCACCCAGCGCCAGCACGACTCGCCCACCTCGCGCTTCGGCATCCCCGACCTGCCTTGGCCGACGTCGAGGACCGCTCGAGCCTCGCTCTTCGACCCCGCCCTCGACTCGCCCTCGCCTCCCTCGCACGCCCACCCGAGCCCGGCCACGACGACCTCGCCGAGCGACAAGACGAGCTCCAGCAGCCGCACGAGCCCGGCGACGAGCTTCAACTGGACGAGCGGCGACGGCGAGCAGGACGTCAAGCGCGAGGACCAGGTCGGCGCGGTCGAGGTGGGCACGGGCAAGGACAAGGCGCACTGGTTCGGCCTCTCGGTGCGTCCCTATTCACTCGATCTTGCCTCGGCGCGAGGAGCGATGCTCACCAGGATGCTCGCCTGCGCAGGTTCAAGGCCTGTCGGCCAGCGCCGTCCCGACTCGGTCCTTCTCGGACGACTACTTCTCGTCGTCGCACAAGCTCGGCCCCGACATCCGCGTCGACATCGGTCTCGGCATTCAGGCCGACCAGGGCGGCATGCACACGATCGAGGACGACCTCGCGACGAGAACGGCGCACCTCGACCTGCGCAAGACCCGCAGCGCCTCGCCGCTCGAGGCTCGCCGCGACTCGTTCACCTTCTTCCCTTCGCCCTCGCTCCTCGGTGGCTCGCCTTCGCCCCGCAAGATCCACTCGTTCGCCTCGTCGGCCGCGCTTCGCTCGCCGCAGCGCCCGGCCTTTCGCCGCGAGATGACGGCGCCCGTCGTCCGCCTCGAGTCGCAGGTCGCCGAGCGCTCGACGGCGCCGACTACGTGGCTCAACGGGCGCCGCGAGCTGTGGAGCTCGACGACGGTGCCGTCGACGCCTGGTCCGCACGAGTCGCCGCCGCTCGTCCCCGTTCCGGCTCTCCACAACCTGCCGCCTCGTCCGGGCCCGCACACGCCGCACGCCCCGCCCATCTTCGACCTCGACAAGCACCTGTTCGGCACGCCGACGAGACCGGTGCCGCTCGCCCCGCCGTCGCACCGTCGCGCGCCGCCCATCCCCCTTCCTCCGCTCCCGCCGCTCGCACCCCTCCCGACGCCAGCTCTCGCCCCGGCCAAGTCGCTCGACAGCGCGCACGTTCGCGCGCACACGATGTATCCGCTCTCGCCCGCCGACACGGAGCGCGTCGCGCAGCTGCATGGCGGGCGCGTCCCCTCGCTGCAGCAACTCGCGCCGCCGCAGCACGAGGCGACAGCGACGGCGCCGGTCGTCAACACGGGCAACGTCGGGCCGATGGTCGTCCAGGTCGGCGACTGGAGGTGCGGGGTCTGCGCGTTCATCGTGAGCCGCACCCTCTCTCTTTCTCTCGAGCCCGCCTGCCTCGAGACGCCGATACTGACCCTCTCCTGCGCCGTCTTGCAGAACTGGCGCCGTCGCAAGTGAGTCTCGCGCTCCTCACTATCTTCCGCCGCCGAGCCCTCTTTGGCTTTTGTCCCTGCGGAACCGCTGACCACGTCGCCGCCTGCAGGATCTGTGTCAAGTGCTTCCCTCACGCCAACGACCTCGGCGACATCCTCACGATCAAGTCGCAGCAAGCCGCCAGCCTCGCACGTGGATCGTCGAGCCCGGTCGCCCTCGCTACCTCGAGCCCGTCGGCGTCGGCGTCGGCGCCCAGGACCGGCCCGCCGTCGACCTCGCCCGGCATCCCTCACGCCTACTTCGCGTCGGCGCCTCCCTGCTCGAACCTGCCCGTTACGAGGTCGCCTCCTCACGTTAGTCACGACGCGCATGTCCACGTCGGCGGCTCGTCGCCGTTCGCGGGCCCGCACGCCCTGTCGAGGCCGGCCCTCGTCCCGGTCCAGCCCGCCCAGTCGCGACCGCCCACGCGCCCGCCGCTCGTCCCGACGCGCAGCTACCCGAGCGCCTTCCCCGACGACAGCAAGTGGACGACGTCGGCCCCTCTGTGCGAGTTTTGCCCGCGCTCGACGGCGCCGCCGCCACCGCCACCGTCGCACGTGTCCCCTCCCTCCTCGACCGTGCCCGCCGCCCTGTCGCCGCTCCCGCACAGCATCTGGGCGCCGCCGCCTGCGTCCAAGGCCATCCTGTCGGCGCCGTCGTCGGCGAGCGCGAGCGACCTCGCGGCGCGGCAGGCGGCGACCGAGCGGGTCCGCGCCATCGTGCAGGCGCGCGCAGCGAGCGCCGCCGGGCGGCGCTGAGCGAGGGACGGTCGGATAGAGGAGGAGGAGGGGGAGCACGTGGACGAGCTTGTCGGACTGGAGCTGTCGCTGGCGGCGGCCGCGAGGAAGGGAGGAGGCTGGAGGAGGTAGGAGCGCGGTCGGATGTGGTCGGTCCTCCTCGTCTTGGTGCCCCTCGCTTGGTCAGGATCCCTTTCTTCTGTCACTCCCGTCCCTCCCCCTCGCCGTCGGCCGCCGCGAGGACCTCTCTCAGCCGCGCTCGGTCGACGTCGTCCCCTCTCTCTCCTCGTCGACCTCCTTCTGTCCCCCTCTTCTATCCTCCTGGCTCTGTAGATCACTGCAAGCTTTGCTGCACTCAGTCCCGAGCCTGCACTGCCGCCGAGCGCGGTCGTTCGGAAAGTCCGGCGAGGCTCGAGCGCTTCGCCCGACCTCGGTCCGTTCGTCGCGAGGCTCCTTTCCTTCCTTCTCATCACTTTGTGTCGCCTTCTCGCCAGCGACACCGAGCAGGACGCTCGCACACTCGACACTCGCCCAGCAGCTCCTCGCTCTCCTGTACTCGCCTCGCCGCTCGAGATGGCCACCGTCGACAAGCTCGCCGACGCCTCGTCCGCCGCGTCCGCCCCGTCCCTGGGCGAGGCCATCGCGAGCCGGCTCCCGGACGAGACATGGACCCAGATCCTCGCCTCGCTCGACTACCGCAGGCTCCTGCGCATGCGCCGTGTCTGCAAGCGCTTCAAGCGTCTCGTCGAGGTGCGCCCTCCTCTCTCGCCCTCTCAGTTTCGCCCCCACGCAGCAGAGCTGACCCACCGCGTACACCCCTCCTTCCGCTGTGCAGGACCAGAAGTTCAAGCTGTTCCGTCGCGGCTTTATCGGCGGCGAGCTCAAGCCGGGCAAGAAGGTCGCGATCCATCCGCTCCTCAGCTCGGTCGACTGCGTGGGCGTCACGGTCACTTGGGCTGCCGTCCTGAGCGGCTGCTACCACGACCAGAGCATCAGCCGGCACGACCACGACGACGTCGCCGCTGCACCGAGCTCGCCGAGCGCGTCGAGCAACTCGGACGGCGACGAGGACGACTCGACGTCGGCCAAGCTCGCGCTCGGCTCGCACGCCGCCGAGCACAAGTCGTCGCAGGAGGTTCCCGCCGTCAAGGACGACGCGTCCGACGACTTGAAGGAGTTCAACGGCCTCGAGTACCCGGCCGCAGAGGAGTTTGCCACGTCGCCCGCGTGCAAGGAGCTCAGGGTCAGCATGATGGGCGAGCACGGCTTCTCGAAGAACGACGAGATCGTCGTCAAGGACTCGACGGGCGTCAAGTGCGACCGTGTCCTCAAGGCCATCGCCAAGTACTGGGCCAAGGCCGCTCCCGCCGCCGCCGCGAGGCAGGTCCGCGCCGAGAACGGCTGGCCCAAGGAGCACAAGGTCTGCCGCAACGAGGTGCTCAGCGACCACCGCTTCTTCGAGGGCTGGCGTCCTGCCGTCGTCAAGGCCAACGGCTCGGTCTACCTCGAGGCGCTCAGGTTCGGCTCGTGACGGCGGTGCGTCCCTCTTTCCCTTCTTCCTCCTCCCTCTTCCCGAGTACTCCCTGACTCCTTGCGCCTGCAGATCTCGCTTCTACCGCCCCTCGCCGACCGTTCCGCTCGCCGCCCCTTCCCTCGCACGCCCCTCGCCCTTCCCTCCTTTGTCGCTTTCCCCTCTCCCTCTTCCGTCTCGCTTGAGTAGTGCCTTGCAGTCTGCCTTTGCCTGTCTCTCTGCGAGTGCTCTAGCGAGGGAGAGCGGCAGCAGCTTGCCCTTAGCGAAAAGAGAGCGGGCCCTGCGCTTTCGACCCAGACGGCGGCCTTCCCAAGTCGCGCAGTCCCGTCGTCTCCCTCCCTTCCCTCTCGCCCGCTCCCTTCTCCCGCATGCAGAGAGGTCGGGTTCCTACCGCAAGCCTCGACTGAGCGAGTGCGAGAGCTCGCCGAGACGCGGAGAGTCCGCGGAGGACGCACACTGTCGGAGACCGGCCGGCCCTCCCTCCTCGCCTCTCTCTCGCCACGCTACCACATCAGCTTGCGCCTGTGCAGCACCGACAGCGCTCAACATGTCCACCGCTCCGACATCATCGCCGCTCGTCAAGCCCTCGCGCATTTCGCAGCTCCCCGCCGAGCTCCTCCTCATGATCCTCGGCCAGCTCGACTACTTTGACCTCAAGCGCGTGCGCCGCGTGTGCAAGGCCTTCGATACGCTCGTCAAGGTGCGCCGAGCGTTCTCTTGACTACCTGGCTTCGAGCCCGGACCTGATCGAAGCGCGACCGCCTGCAGGACCCCAAATTCGACCGCGTCCTCTTCCGTCAAGGCGTCAAGCCGCTCAAGCCCGGGCAGAAGGTCGCCCTGCACCCTATCCTTGACCTTGTCGACTGCATGTGGGTCACGGCGACCACGGCGACGCTGATGGACCTCGCCAACCTCAACGTCTACGAGGTTCCCGCGTGCGACGAGTTCGCCACCGCGCCCGCCTGCGCCGCGCTCGTGCTCAACATGTTCGACACCTGGTATGGACGAGGCGAACAGCTCGTGACGAGCGACGTCGGCCTCACGGTGCGCGACATCCTGCACGAGCTGGCGGAGTACTGGGAAACCGGGCCAGGGGCGCACTCGCTCGTCATGGAGCAAGGCGGGCACGCCTTCGCGGGTTGGCGGCACCCCATAGTGCTCAAGGACGGCACGGTGTGCCTCCAAGCGTGCCCATTCGACCACTGAGAAGCCCTTCTCTCCTTGCGCACCCCTCGTCGTTCCCGCGCTCCCTCTCGTCGCCCGCCTCCTTTGTCTACCTCCTCTGTGTAGCACCTGCAGTCGCTTTCCTCTGTCGCTCTCTGCGCCTGGCGAGCCGAGAGAAGCGCAGCTTGCTCGAGCCTGCGAGGGAAGCAAGTTCTGCACGAGGCTCGAGCTCGCTGCCGACCTTCCCAAACTCGAGCTTTCGTTCCTGCGCTTCGCTCGGCACCTCGCAGAGCGAGCGCAGACACGGTCCCGCACTCGACGACAGAGCGAAAGAGTGCGTCGAGGAAGCTGCTCACTCGGAGAGTCCGCGGCGGCTCGAGCGACGCTCGCGCCTCGTCGCGTCACGTGACAGTCGTCAACGGTCGGACCGGCTCCGATCGCGCTCGCACTTCCCTCCTCCTCTCACCGCCCTCGACCCGCCCGAGGAGGCCATGGCTACCCAGCACGACCAAGTCGTCTCGTCTGCTGCCCCACAAGCCCCCGCCACCGCCGCTGCACGGCCCACCGCGACGCCGCTTGCGCTCCGCCTCCCCGACGAGCTGTGGCTCCTCATCCTCGCCGAGGTCGACTACTGCGCGCTCAAGCAGGCCCAGATGATCTGCAAGAAGGTGCAGCGGCTCATCCAGGTGCGTCCCCCTGCGCCTCTCTTGTCTCTCGCGCCGCTCGCGCGCCGTCGCTCACACGCTCTCGTCCCCCGCCCTCCAGGACAAGCGCCTCGACGCCCAGCTCTTTCGCCTCGGTCCTGTCGACGGCAAGCTCGAGGTCGGCATGAGCTTCGAGCTCCATCCACACGTCGAGCGCCTCGACCCTGTCGCCCGTGCGAGGTGGCTCCTCGTGCTCGCAAAGGAGGCGAGGAAGCGCCGTCCGTGGCGCTACACGCCGTGGAGCTACCCTGCTCTGGACGACTACATCACCTCGCCTGCCTGCACCCGCCTCAAGGTCCGTGTCGCGCCGACCATGCTGTACGGCGACGACGAGAACGAGCACACGTTCGTCGTCCTCGAGCGTCGTGACGGCGTGACGGTCTTTGACGTCTTCAAGGCCCTCGGCGAGTGGTACGACACGCGCGCTCCCAGGTACGTCACGGACGCGGCCGGCTACGGCGACCTCGCCGAGAAGCGCGGGACCGACAACGAGGAGATGGTCCGGTACTTTTTCTTCGAACACTGGAGCGAGCTCGTCGTGCGGGCGGGCGAGGGCGCACAGTCGGGCATGAGCGTCTACCTCGAGGCGACCATGTACACCGACTAGACGGCGAGTCGCAGTCGCATTGCCTCGAGAGGGACCCGATTGTGTCTTCGTCGTGCTCCCTCTCCTTGCGCTGTGCAACGTGCGCTCGTCTCTCTGTCCCTCGCGTCGAGTCGAGAGTGCGCGATCCCTCGAGAGAAGTGGTGGTGCGAGCTGCTGGGCCTTTGAAAGCTTGTAAGCGGCCAGTCGAGCAGACTCGTCGAGGCTCGAGCGCGCGCGACTCGACGCGTCGAAACCTACGTCACCGAGTCTTGTCGTCCAACCCACCTTGCTTGCCTCTCCCTCTCTCTCCCACAGCTCACGACACCAGCCATGCCTCGCCGCATCGCTGAAGCCGACTCGTCCACGACGCGCGCACAACCCGCCGACGCCGCGCAGCAGCCCGCCGGCCCGTCCCTCGCCCTGCGCTTCTCCGACGAGGTCTGGCTCCGCACGTTCGCCCACCTCGACTACTACGCGCTCAACAAGGTGCAGCGCGTCTGCAAGAAGTTCCGGCGCCTCGTCCAGGTGCGCCCGTGCCCGCTCTCTCTCTCTCGGGCCAACCTCCCTCCCTCTGACCCCCCCTCCCTCCTCCTCGCGCAGCACGAGAGCCTCGACGACACGCTGTTCCACCGCGGTCCCGTCGCCGGCGCACCTGGCAAGCTCAAGGTCGGCATGCAGTTCGCGCTGCACCCGCACATCGCGACCTTTCGCGTGCTCGAGCGCTCGCGGTGGCTCTCGGTCGCGGCCGAGCACATGAAGAAGGCGGCCAAGAAGGGCGTCGACCCGGGCCGCACGCCCTGGACGTACCCGACCACGCGCGAGTTTGCGACGTCGCCCGCCTGCACGCGCCTCAAGGTCCGCCCGGCGCCCGAGTTCTACAACAACGGCGAGAAGCACTCGCACGTCCTGATCAACAAGAAGGACGGCGGCGGCGTGACGGTCGGCGACGTGTTTACGGCGCTCGGCACCTGGTTCGACAAGCCGGCGCCCAAGGACGTGCTCCAGGCGCTCGAGTACGACAGCATCGCGCGCAAGCGCCACGTCGCCAACGACGAGATGGCCGAGGACTGCTACTGGAACGGGTGGCAGGACCCGGTCGTCAAGCCCGGCGAGGGCAAGCGCCCGATCCTGAGCGTCTACCTCGAGCCGATCCCGTACGGGTTCGACTGAGGCGCGAGCGCGCGAACAGTACAGCGTCCAGCCGGATCTAGCCTCTCCTTCTCTCGTCGTTGTACCTCTCTCCCTCTCTGTGTCTCGCTGTGCAACCTGTCTATATCTCTCTGTCTCTCACGACGACGAGTCGAGAACGTGAGAGGAAAGCGTTACAGAGAGTGCGAGCGCGAGAGCTACAGCAGCGTGTGGACGACGGCCTCTCGCCCCTGGGCGTTCCTCCCGCCGCTGCTCACCGCCACCCCCTCTCCCCTCGCCCCACCCTGTCCCGCCGCCGCACCGCCGCCCGCGCCGCCGCTCGAGCCCATGCCCGGCCTGAACGGCCTCTCCACGACGCGCCTCGAGCGCCTCCTGCGCTGCTCGAGCACGCCCGCCGTGAGCTCGCACACGTCGCGCACGACGAGCACGAGCGCGGCGCCGAGCGTGTTGCGGAGCCACTTGGGGTCGACGACGGTCGCCGCTCGGCGCGTGCCGCCAACGCCGCCGCTGCCGCCGCCGCCGAGCGCAGCGAGCTGCGCGATCCAGCTCGCGCCGAGGCCGGTGCCGGCGCCCGAGGACGAGCCCGAGCCCGGGCCCGCACCACCGCGCGCAGCGAGCACGGCGCCGACGCCAAGGACGGCCCTGAGTGCGCGCAGGGGCGCGTTGTTGCCCCGTCTCTTGGCGAGCCAGAACAGGGCCGAGCCGGCTGCGGCCGACAGGGCGGGAAAGACGAGGGCGCCGAGGACGAGCGAGGTGAGGCGGCCCATGCCGATTCGGAGGCGAGAGGTCGTCGTGGTGGTCGTCGCCGTCGGGGGTGCGTCGGCGGCGGCGGCGGCTGCGGCGGCGGGGAGCTGCTGCGCGCCGGCAGGGTGGTCGGCGGCGGCGCCGGGCAGGGCGCGCTCCTCGACGTCGACCTCGAGCGTGGCGACGAGCTCGAGCGCCTCGCCGCGCGTCCTCGTCGTCCTCGCCGCTGCGCCCGCCTCGTCACCGTCGCCATCGCCGCCGTCGTGCGCGCCGACGAGGTCGTCGTCGTCGTCGGCGGTCGCCTCCTCAAAGACGCCCGCGAGGCCGCGGAACCGTTTGCGGCGGCCGAGGACGGCGTGAAAGAGTCGGAGGCGGAGGCGGAGGTAGACGAGGCGGAGCCAGGGGAGGAGGCAGACGGTCAACGTGGGCGAGGGAGGGTACCGCAGGGTGAGGTCGTCGAGGCCGAGCGGGTCGAAGGAAAAGGGCGACGAGCCGAGGGCGCGGTGGGGCCCGCCGCCGGCCGAGAGGACTAGGGTGAGCGGGAGGAAGGGGAGGAGCGAGTCGATGAGAGGGGTGCGCGACAGGATGAGGGTGAAAGGGATGAGCGGGAGGTTGACTGTGTGGGCGAGGGAGAGGGTGAGCGTTTCGTCGGGTGCGTGTGAGGAGAGAGAGAGAGAGAGGTGGACGCACGCCAGTACCGCCAGGGGAAGCCGCCCTCGTGGCGCAGGACGAGGGCCCTCGCGACCTGGTCGCCCATGAAGGTCCTGACGGCCCAGGCGCCGTACGCGGCGGCGACGAACCACGCGCTGGCGGCGACGGCTCCGACGGCGGCGACGAGCGACGCGTTGTCGGCGTTGCGGCGCACGCGGCGGTACAGGCGCAACAGGTCGCTGCGGTGCTCGCGGACGACGATCGGGCTCGCGCACACGGGGCAGCGCGGCGGGTGCGGGTGGTGCTGCTGGGGCGAGGTGGCCTGGGCCGTGAGCCAGTCGAGGAGGCATTGCTCGTGGGCGACGAGGGTGCACGAGCAGGCGTGGATGAAGGGGCGCGAGGGGTCCTCGGTCGAGTCGGTGTAGCAGATCCAGCACTGCTGCGGCTCGTCGTCGTCGTCGGCGGCATCGAGAGGGTGCGCTGTGCTGGACCGCACCTTGTCGGCGGCGGCGGTCAAGGTGGGGGACGAGGAGGAAGGGGAGGCGAGGGGTGGTGGCGGTGCATGGTCGGTCGAGGATGCGCGTGGCCTCCTTGCAGCCTGCTGGTGTGCTGACAGCATGGCGAGTGTGTGTGTGGGTCGAGGCGACCCTCCTCCGCGGCGATGAGGACGGCGACGCTCGCTCTTGTCATCCTCGCTCGCATGATCCCAGGCGGGTCATCACCGGGCACGTCGACCTTGATCGGCGTCGGCATCGCCATCCTCGCCAACTGCCTCGTGTGCGCCGCCCTCAACCTCCAAAGGTGAGCCAACCTCCTCTCCCTCTCTCTGACCCACGATTCCGAGACTGACTGGACTCGCACACAGACTCGCCCACCTTCGACGTGCGCGCAAGGCCGACGCACCCCAACCCGCTACGAGAGGACGATCCCCTGGTCGCCCTCCTCCTCATGAGCGCACGCCCTTGATCGTCACGACCAAGCCCACCCTCGACCGTTCCCTGTCCGACCCTCTCGCCAGCAGCTCGACCACGAGCCCCGTCGTCCTCGTCTCTTCGCACCTCCGCACCGACTCGCCCCCGCCGCTCCTCCACCGCCGCTCGTCGTCCCGCCGCAGCAGCACTCGAGCGGGCCGCCCGAGGACCGACAAGGGCTTCCTCACGAGCCCGCTGTGGCTCGCGGGCTTTGCCTGCCTCAACCTCGGCGAGCTCGGCAACTTTCTCGCGTACGGCTTCGCGGCGCCGTCCGTCGTCGCTCCCGTGCGCCTCAGCCCCCTTCCCTCCTCTCCTCGCGGCGCGTCTCTGCGCCGCCACAGAGCGCTCACACTGACGCACCTCGTCGTCGTCGCACCACACGCAGCTCGGCATGGTCGCCCTCATCGCCAACGTCTTTCTCGCGCCCCTCATCGTGCGCGAGCCGTTCCGCCGCAAGGACCTCGTCGGCGTCGCCATTGCCCTCGTCGGCGGCGCCACCGTCGTCTACGCCTCGCGGTCCAACGATCAAAAGGTGCGTCTCTCCTCTCTCTCCCTCCCTATCTCAGGGCGCCCTCACTGACGCACCCCCCACAGCCGACGCCCGACGAGTTCCTGTCGGCCATCTCGCGACCGCTCTTCATCGCCTACGCCGCCGTGTCGGCCGTCGCCATGGCCGTCCTCGCGCACCTGTCGCGCACAAAGCTCGGCGACCGCTACGTCCTGATCGACCTCGCCCTGTGCGCCCTCGCGGGCGCGTTCACCGTCTTGTCGACAAAGGCCATCTCGTCGTTCCTCAACTTGCTCTTCTTGCGCATGTGCGTCCTCTCGACCACTCACTCTGTCTCTCTTGAGCGTCGGTCAGGGCGCGAGGGGGACTAATGCGAGGTCGTGTTTGGACACAGCTTCGAGTATTGGATCACGTACCCGGTCCTCGTCGTCCTCGTCGGGACCGCCCTCCTCCAGGTCAACTACGTCAACAAGAGCCGTCCGTCCCTCTTCCCTCTCTCTCTCTCTCATCCTGCGCGCACTCGACCCGGACCCGACCTGACCCCTCCCGCACGCGCGCGCGCGCAGTGCAACGCTTCGAGTCGCGCGTCGTCATCCCGACGCAGTACATGACGTTCGCCCTGTCGACGATCGTCGGCAGCGCGATCCTGTACCGCGACTTTGAGGGCGTTGCCCTGCCGTCGTTGGTCAACTTCAGCTTCGGCTGCGTCGTGTCGGCGGGCGGTGAGCCACAACCTCTTACTCTCTCTCTCTCTCTCGCCGCCTGGCGCGTGACTGACACGCCCCCGCATCGCAGGCGTCTACCTCCTCACGCGCGACCCACCCTCTCCCCCCTCGAACACCTCCAAGCCCTCGCCCACCGCGCCCGCCGACGCCCCCTCGCCCTACGCCGCCCTGAGCGCCCGCGCGCCCCCCTCACTCTCCCACCACGCCCTCACCGACCGATCCTCGACCGCGGTCCCAGGAACCGCCTCGGCCCCACGGCTCCTCCCCGTCCCGCTCGTCGCGGCCGCGCTCAGCCCGGGCCTCGCGGGCGGTCGCTCGCGCACCCTCAGCGTCACGCTCGGGGGAGGGTACTTGCTCGCCGGGTCGCCGGGGGCGCTTGGGGTCGTGGGGAACTTTGGGCGCGGGGAGGAGGGCGAGGAGGGAGAGGAGGAGCGGGAGGAGCGGGAGGACGAGGAGGCGAGCGTTGGGTCGGCAGCGTGACGGCGCTCGAGGGAGGGTTGTACGAGCGAGGTCGATGTATCTATCCTGTCAGTGACTGTTCGTCGAGAGCGTTTCGCGTGGCTGCGAAGCGAGAGCGCGAGGGCTATTTTTGTTCGCACGCAGCGACGTCAGGCCTAGGCAGCGGGACGAGGAGGAGGTTCGACTTGGACCACGACGACTCTGCGCGCGCACGATGGAGCCCACGCTGCAGACACAGCCCGAGCCGGCGCACGACCACCGCACGGCCACGCACGAGGACTACGCGGTGCGCCCTCGCTCTCTCTCTCGCCGCGAGGTGGGGCCGAGCGAGCTGACCGTCTCGCTCGCACACGCAGGCGACGCTCGATGGGCTCACGCACGGCGAGGACGAGGGAGTCAAGGAGGTCGACTTGCACACGCCGGCGCACGAGGGTGCGTCTTGCCTCCCTCTGACTCTCGGTCGAGGAGGAGGAACTGATGAAGCCCTCTCTCTCCTTCTTCTCTGCCTTGGACCCGATCTATGGTGCGTCCACTCTCGCTCTTGGTGTACCTCGAGCCACCGACAACTGACACAGCGCCTCTCGCAGCCCCTCCCCCTCCCCTCCTGTCCACCTCCTCCCCCTCTCACCGTCACGCCAAGCAGGCCTCGCCCACGCCTGGCTCAAGCGCTTCATCCCGGGCATCGAAAAGCTCGCGGCGAGCTATGGCCTCGGCAACTATGTCGTCACGCGCGGGCCCGAGCCGGTCAAGGTGTGGGAGGTGAGCACGGCTCGTTTTCGCTCTCTGTCGGCGCGCCGCACGAGATGCGACGGGCACTGACTCGTCGAAGCCGTTGCCGTACGCAGAGCATGCCGCTGTATGTGCGCGTCGGCATGCAGGCGCTGTACCATGGGCGCGAGCAGGCCAAGTTGCTCGGGTCGAGGCGCGTCGAGGAGCTGTTCAAGGTCCGCCGCCCTCTCTCTTTCTCCCTCGGTCCGACGCTACTAACCTTTGTCTCTCCCCGCTCGCAGCAACAGAGCATCAAGCAGGGCATCGCGTTCGACTCGCCCGTCAACGCCCTGCCGCACATCCAGCACTTTGTCGACACGTACCACATCGACACGGCGGCACTCCTCGAGCCCGACCTCGCCAAGTACCGCACCTTCAACGATTTCTTCTCGCGCCGGCTCAAGCCCGACGCGAGGCGGCCGGCGAGCCCGCACGACCCGGACGTCGTCTCGAGCGCGGCCGACTGCCGCCTCACCGTGTTTGACACGGTCGACGCCGCCAAGGAGCTGTGGATCAAGGTGCGCCCTGGCGCTCTCCTGCTCTCCTGCGTCACGGCGGATACGGCACTGACACGTCGCACGAGCAGGGCAAGCACTTTACGGTCCCGGCGCTGCTCGACGACGACAAGCTCGCGGCCCAGTTCAACAACGCCGCACTCGCCGTCTTCCGCCTCGCGCCCGCCGACTACCACCGCTATCACTCGCCTGTGGCGGGCACGGTCGGGAGCACGCGATCGGTCGCGGGCGAGTATTACGTGCGTCCCTCGTCCTTTGCCTCTCTTTCTCGCTCGAGGAAGGTCGACTCTCGATCGTTTGGCCCGACTGACCGCTTCCCTGCCTCTGCAGACGGTCAACCCGGTGTGCGTCAACGAGTCCGAGATCGACGTCTTCACGCAGAACAAGCGCGACGGTGCGTCCTCGCGTCCCTCCCCTCCTCCCGCAGAAACCGCATGCTCATGCCCTGCTCGCCACACAGTCACGCTCCTCTCGACCCCGCGACCAGACGGATCGGTCATCCCTGTCGCCTACGTCCAGATCGGCGCCATGCTCGTCGGAGCCATCAAGCGCACGGTCGACGAGGGCGCCGAGGTCAAGAGAGGAGACGAGCTGGGCTTTTTTTGTCCGCCCTGGCACTACTCTTTGTCTTTGCGAGGACCCAGACTGACTCTGAGTACGCCCTGCAGCCTACGGGTGCGTCTCGGCCTCTCCCTTTTCCGGCGAGGGCCCGTGCGCCTCGCAGCCGAACTTGCGCGGCGACGCCCTCCTCGCGCTCCCGGTTCCCTCACTGACTCTGCGCTCTCTCCTCGCCCTGCAGTGGCTCGACCATCATCGCCGTCTTCCCGGCGGGCTCGGTCAAGTTCGACGACGACCTCGTCAAGAACTCGAAGGACCGGATCGAGACGGTGGTCAGGGTGCGTCCCGCTCTCTCTCTCTCTCTCAGTCTCTGTCTCTCTCCCTCTCCTGCGCGCTCTCGCTCTCGAGCCACGGAACTGACAAACTCTCTCGGTCCTTGCAGGCGGGCGAGCAGATCGGGCGCTTTGTGTAGCAGTGCCCGCGCAGACACTTTCTCTCGCTTTAACCTCCTCGACGGCGCAGCGTCATGAGCCAGCGTCTCGGCCGGGCGACGCCTCGCTCCCGAGACTCGTCGGCGTGCAGCCAACGCCTCGATCGATTCGAGATGACGGCGCGCTCGACCCGCCGTCGGCGCACGCTCCCTCGCGCTCAGCTCGGCGCGGCGCCTCCCCCGGCCGTCCGCTCGTCTCTCGGTCGCTGCACCTCGTCAGCTTGCGGGCTGCTTCTCTCTGCCTCGCTTGCTGAGGCCTGCGCCCGAGGCCTCGCTCCGCTCGAGCGCGTCACTCTCGCTCTCGGCACGACAAGCAGGCGCTCGAGCGCCCCGACCGGGCCATCGACGGCTTTGGACGACCTTACGACCCTCGACGACCTTTCACGACTTCTCACGACCCTCGACGACCTTGACGACCTCGACCACGCCCAGCACCACCGTCCAGCACCTCGCCCGGCGTCCCTCTCGCCTGCCTCGCCATGTTCCGCCTCCCCTTCTCCTCCTCGTCGACGCCCTCGCCTGAGCACGACGCCCTCACGACCCTTCCACCTCGGCGCTTCTCCCGCTCGAGCTCCATCTTCACGACCCCGACCCCGACCTCGCCCCCGTCCACGGCGAGTTCGCCGCCGGCCGCCGACTGGACGAGCCGGCACTCGTTCGCCGAGCTGCTGAGCCGTGACCCGCGCAGCAGCGTGCTCGTGCGGGACGCGTCGCTGTACGGCGATGGTGCGCAGGTCGGCGGTGGCGAGGAGCAGGACGGGCGCGATGGGCACGGCGAGGGCATGCTGGCGCTCCCTGGAGCAGACTTTGGCGTCGTTGGTGCGTTCTCGTTCACCTTCTTCTTGTCCCCCCGTACCCTCACTGAAGCCTTGTCCCTCACGCAGGCTCGGACGCCCACCTGTTCCTCCAGGAGCTGCAGCGCCTGCGCACCTCGCTCGCCCTCAAGCGCCGCCGCCGCACGGGCTACGTCGCCGGCGTGCTCTCGCTCGTCGTGCTCGGCGTCACGTTCTGGTTCGAGGTCGAGGCGTGCGTCGCGCTCGTCAAGAGTGGCGGGTCGGGCCGAGGCGCGCTGAGGTGGGTCGAGATGGCCGTGTGGCTCTCGGTCCTTTTTCTTTGGGTCGCTGTCCTCCTCTTCCTTCGAGTGCGTCCACTCTTTCTCTCTCTCTCTCTCTTGTGTCTCGAGCTCACCAGCCTTTCTCTCACAGTCTCGGCGACCCTCGATCCTGTGCCTCGTCGGCCTTTCGAGCGCCGCCCTGTCCTCTTTCCTTCACCTCTCCCTCGTGTTCGCCAACTTTGTCCTGTCGTTCGTGTGGAAGGGCGAGCTCGTCGACCGGTGCGACTGGGGCATCGACGTCGCGTGGACGTCGGGCGACAAGGGCGACGACTGCGAGGGCGAGGGGTGGAAAGGGTGGAGCGGCGCGGCGGTTGTCCGGCTCCTCGTCACTGCGGCTTTCCTGGTGCGTCCCTCATCTCTCAGTCTTTCTCGAGAACAGCTTCTGACTCTTTCATGCGCCCCGCAGACGATCTGGCTCGTCGTCCTGCGCCGGTACCACCGCACCCTCTTCACGCCCGCCGTCGTCTCGCCCTCGCAGCTCCCGTCCGCCGAGCTCCGCGCCCTCCTCGGGCGTCACCGCGCCGACATCGTCCCGCTCTCGTCCGCCTTTCACCCGCCGACCATCGTCAGCCCGTCCGCTGTGCACCCGGACGACCTCCCGCACGCGCCCGACCGCGCGACGGCCTTCTACGCGAGCGTGAGCGACGGCGCGTGGAGCTACGACGTCGAGCATGCTCGGTGGGGCTCGAGCGCGTCCCGGGCGAGCCGCGGCGCCGGTGCTGGGGTCGAGAGCGGCGCAGGCGGGAGCGCGAGCGCGAGCGCGGGAGGCGCGGCGCAGTGGCTCGGCGCCAAGCTGTGGGGCGGGGTCGGGTGGCTCCTCGGCGTGCCGTCGTACGACGCGGCGGCGACGCTCGAGGAGGAGGAGGCCAAGGCGCTGCGGGAGAAGGACGCCGAGCCGGGCGCAGGGCGGCGCAGCGTCGAGGGGCTCGAGCGCTCGGCCGTGCACGTCGGCGGCGAGCATGTCGCCCGTCCTCAGCCGGCGCATCCCGTCTCGTACGAGGCGTGACTTGACGAGGGTGCAGCCGCCGCTCGCGACGGGCACGACTACGGCTCGCTGTTCAGCGGCCTGCGCCGGCCGGCGTCGTTCGCGTCGTCGTCGTCGCCCTCGCTCTCGCTCTCGAGCAGGCGCCTCTCGACCGGGTCCGCCGCGCCGCTCCTCGGCTCGCCTTCGTCCTCGTTCCCTTCCCCCGACCCGTCCCCTCGCGACGACGCGCACCACCCACTTCGCGACCTCCCCTCGTCGCCCTCTCCTCCCCGACCCTCACCCGCCGACCCGCCAACCGGCTCGTCCGGCTCGACCCGAGGCGCGATCGTCTACGTCCGCATGTCGGACGGCCGCCTCGTGCGGCGCCTGTCGACGATCGCGAGCGAGAGCGACGAGACGCGCCGCAGCCGGAGCGAGGCGACGGACAGCTTGGCGTCGACGTCGTTCGGCGGCGGCGGCGTTGGAGGAACGAGTGGGGGTGCTGGGAGCGGTAGGAGCGGGAGCTCGAGCGGGGAGGGGAGCTTTGCGACGGCGCGCGAGGGAGCGGAGGAGGAGCTCGACGGGGAGGAGGAGCTCGGGAGGGAGGTGCTCCTCGACGAGGTGGACGTCGGGCGGCACTAGCCAGTACCGCTCTCTCTCGCACTGCAGCTCGCACTCGTCTTTCCCTAATCCTTGCATTGCATCTCGCTGTCGTTCTTCTCGATCGGCGAGAGGACTCGAGGCCGGGCACGCTCGGCGGGCGAGGCTCGAGCGGCGAGCAGCTCCAGCGGGCGGACACGCGCGGGGTGCGATCCGCAAGCGATGCCGACTCGGAAAGCGAGCTAGAAGCGATGAGGATATCGAGCATCGACCGTGGAGAGGCCGAAGCGTGTGCGCAGGCTCCTTCGCAGTCGCGCAACTCGCGTGTCGCGACTCGAGGTGAGGCTCGCGCAGCTCGCTTTCGCTCCGGGAGGACCAGCTGCAGACATGGGCGAGCAGCCGCAAGCCGCACGGCGCGTCGCGAGAGAGAGAGAGAGAAGGTTCAGCGCGCACGAGCGACGCGTCGACTTCTCTCCACGCGAGCAGGCCAGCCGCGCGTGTTCTTCTCGGCCTCCGGATTCGTCGGACTTGCTGCTCTCGGCTCTGTCGAGCACTCGAATATTGCGGACGACGAGGGGGCACGAGTGAACGCGAGGCGAGGGTTGCACAAAGAGAGGCGCGATGCTGCGGGGGAACGACGACGACTACGGCGCGACGAGAGCGAGAGAGTGAGAGAGAGGGTCTGTCTGAGGGATAACCAGGAGAGAGACGGCGCGGGCGAGGGAGAGAGAAGGGTGGAAGAAAGACAACGAGGGAAAGGGCAAGAGGGGGCGCGAGCAACTAGGGTATGAGAGCGAGGTGGGACCGAGGGTGCGGGTGTGACGAGTGACGGGCGGCGTGGGAAAGAGAGGTGCGAGAGGGAGGGACGGCGGGAAGGGGCGAGGCGAGGGTATATCCGGCGTCCGAGCAGACGAACGACGACGACCACGACGACGACGATGGGCGACGCCGCGCCGATGAGGGTGGAGGGTACAGCGAGAAGATGCAGGGAGGGGATGGGGGCTCATGCGGTGAAGAGCATGGTGCGGCGCATGCGCGCGGCCGCCGTCGCCCTCGCCGTCGTCGACTCGTCGGTGTTGGACAGGACCGAGATGGTGGTGCCCGAGATGACGGTCGAGCTGTTGGCCGGGATCGGGAGATTGCCCGTCGTCGCGAGCGTCGTCGCCGTGACGGGCGACGGGATCGACGTGATGCTCGACGGCGCGTTGGTCGAGATGCCCGAGGCCGTCTCGTCGGCGGCGCCCGACGACGACTCGTCGGTGCCGGTCGCGAGCGACGACCAGAACGACGTGTCGGACGAGGGGATGACAAGCCCGGTCGAGGCGGTTGGGGATCGAGTGCGGGACGTCGACAGGCGCGAGCGCAAGGTGCTGTTGGCCGACGAGGCCGAGAGGTCGTCCGACTTGTCGCGCGAGTCGCGCTCCGAGAGGCCGACGCCGAGGCCGACGGCGAGCGCGACGGCGACGATGAAGAGGGCGAGGATGAGGAGCGTCAAGGGGCGCAGGTACCACGGGCGGCGCCGCTTGCCGCTGTGAGCCGTCGCGCCCGAGTGGCCGCCGGACGAGTCGGCGCCGTACTCCTTGGCCGCCGCGCCTGCTGGCGCACCTGGCCCGCCGTGCTGCATGGCGCCGTACGACACTCCTGGCCCTGCTGCGAGCCCTGCCCCACTGCCGACTGGCCCGAGGCCGGCACCTCCGAGCGCGCCGAGGGCGGGAACTGCTGGTGCCGCCGCTCCCTCGCCGCCGCCACCGAGGCCCGGGTGCGAGTGAACCGCCGCCAGGCCCGAGCCGTACTTCTCCCGGCCGCCACCGAGCGAGTCGTCGTCGCCACCACCGGCGCCCAGGTCGCTCGAGTAGCGGCCGCGCGGGCGGGCATTGAGGAGCTCGACGTCGTAGCCTTCTTGGCGGTCGCGCTCGCTGAGCGGGATGGCGGCCGTCTGGGCGAGGAACGGGTCCTGCTCTCGTGGAGTCGGATGGGGCGACGTCGACGACGCTCGCGGTGGTCGCAGTTGCTGCTGCGCGGCCGAGTTGTTGGCGACGGCGGCGACCGCGGGTGGAGGCGACGAGGCGCCGCCGAAGCTCGACGAGAGCGGCGGGCTCGCCTGCGGCGGCGTGTGGGTGCCCGTGTGCGGCATCGGGCGGCGAGGGTGGTGTGGCCAGCCACACGCGGCGTGTGCGTGTGCGGGTCGAGGGAGGAGGGGGAGGGGAGCAGGGGCGAGAGGGACGACGGCGAGCTGCCCGCGGCGCGCGCGCGCGCCTCCCTCCTCTCGGTGCCTGAACGCTCCTCGCCCGCTTAGCTTTTTTCGTATTCCGCTCGCCTTAGTTACTGTACTCTGTCGCTTGCACAGCAGCCAGGCACCCTCGTCCTCTTCTCGTTCCCGACTTAGACCTCGGCTCGCGCGCGCTTCTGGCCACGAGCAACGACGAGAGGAAGAGGCTTCCCACGGCGTGCAGCTCTCTCTCTCTCTTGTCCCACGCCTCTCGACTGCATGCTACTACTCGCCCCGGGCCAGCCTCGGCGCGCGTTACCAAAAACTCGCGTCCGAAAATCGCGAGTCGGACCGGGGCCACCACAGCTCGAGGGGGGAAGCGCTTGGACCCAGACAGCGCTAACCGTCCCGGGCCCGCGCTTTCATCAACGTTGCGCTCGCTCGCTCGGCTCCAGAGCTGCTCGAGAGTCGACAGGGATGAACGCGCTGTCGCAGCCCTCGCCGCCGACGACTCGTCGTCGGGAACTCCGCTCGCTCCTCTCTTCACGCGCAGCTTTGCTCGTCGCAGCTGCTGCACTCGCAGTACTCTCCTGCGCGCGATCGTGCACCTCGCAAGCGTGCGTGGCTGTGCTTGCCAAGCCCGGCTCGCGTCGTCGTCGTGCCCGGGCACTGCCCTCGAGGCTCGAGCGCGCTGATCCAGCTCTCGCCGCACGGGCCTCGATCAGCTCTCGTCGCCTCGTCGACACACGCTATCGACTCGCGCCTCGTCTCCATTGTCGAAGAGCGATTGAGGGCGCGCTCGAGGACGGTGCGCGGAGGGCGAGTCGCCGGGGCTTTCCTCCCTCCTTTGCTCGCCCGCGCTCCTCCTTCGGCTCTCGCATCGACACAACTCGACGCTCTCGACGACCCTGCACGCCCGCCTTGACCCTCGCAAGCCAGGGCAATCCTTCCGGGCTCGACGCACCTCTCGACCCTCCTCTCCTCGACATGCACGCGCCTCTCCCTCTCGCGGCTCTCCTCGTCGGCGGCGTCCTGGCGATGCCGTTCCCGACGCCAGCGTCGACTACTGTACCGACGTGCGTCTACTCGCCCGCCACGCTCGCGAGGAGGGAGTACGCCGCCGGGAGCCAGCCGTACTTTCCGACCGACATTCCCAGCTGCGTCGGTGCGTCTGCCCTCTTTCTCTCTCTCTTTCTCGCGTCGTCCTCACTGTCCTCGACGAGCTGACGAGGCGACGTGCAGCGTGCGAGCCACAGTGGTCCGGCATCTCGAGCTGCGCCAAAGCTGCGTCCGCCTTTGAGGTGCGCTTCCTCCTGCCTCTCCCGCTCACGCTCTAAGGACACACCGGCTCACGCGCACTCCCTCCTACAGGACTGGAAGAACGTACGCTCGTCGCCCGCCAGGCTGCGAGACTCGCTGCGACTGAGCTGACCGACCTCTCCTCGTCGCAGACGCTCTGTTCGCCTCCTCGCACCGTTCCTTTCTTTCATGTCGCACGCTCACGCTTTCTCTCTCGTTCGGCAGACAACCCCCTCTCCTTCATCGACGCAATCAAGTGCTCCTCCACCGACACGTTCTCGTCTGCGTGTGCGTCTCTCGCTCTCTCTCGCGCGCACACGGTCCCCCCTTCACTCGTCCACCCTCCTCGCTCCGCTCCCAGTCCCACAATGCGTCGACTGCTTCGTGCAGACGAACCAGTGCGAGCAGTACCTCGGCGTCCCCTCGCTCGAAGCCAACGCGTCGTCGGTCCTCGACGGCGTGCGCGAGGTCTGCGGGCTCGGCTCGGCGCTCCTCGGCGGCGTCGCGGCGTCCCAGTCGAGCGCCGGGCTCGCGTACACGTACACTGGTGCGCTCGAGCATTTTCCCTCTCTCTCGAGACGCTCAGTCATCGAGCGCGTCCAGCTCACGAGTTCGAGTCCTGCAGCCGAACCTTCGCAAGGCTTTCCGACGACGACGAGCATCGGGCCGGGCGGCATCGACGATGGCAGCGCTCAGGGAGCGAGCACAGGAGCGTCGACAACAGGAGGAGCGGGGTCGGGCTGGGCATGGGCTCTCGGGGCCGCTCTCGCTGCGGCGGGAGGACTCGCAGCCGGGTTCTGAGCGTTCGCGAGCGACTCTGCAACGACGACGAGGTTCTGCGTTTCATCGAGGGCGACGACGACGACGACGACGAGCTACAGGTCGAGCCCGTGCATGTTGTACTTGCGCCCTCCCATCTCGGCCGCGTCCCTCGCGACGCTCTCCTCGGCCGCCTGGGCCCTCTTGCTCTTGGTCGCCGACGCCGGCGCCGCCGCCGCCTTTTTCCTGCTGCTCGGCGACCGCGTCGGAGGCTTCTCGGCGTCGTCGTCGTCCTGCGACGCGCTGCGCTTGATGCGCTTCGACGGCGTCACCTTGGCCTCGTCGTCGACGTCCTCCTCCTTGACGGCGTCTGCTCCTCCTGCTCCTCCGGCCCGCCCACGCCCACGCTTGACCGGCGTCTTGCGCGGCGTCGTCGTCGACGGCTTGAAGTCCTCGTCGCTGCCGCCCTCGCCCTCGTCCTCGTCGGTCGACACCGCCGGCTTGAGCTCCTTCTCGGCCGCGTCCTCGAGCGGCTCAGCTGCGCCGGCGCCGGCGCCTGCGCCCTTGGCCGGCGACGACCCGGCACTGCTGCGCCCGGTCGCCTTGCCCTTGGTGCGGCGCACGAGGTGGTCGATCGGGCACGTGTCGACAAAGTCCTGCGAGGTTGAGCCCGCCGCGCACCGGTCGCACCCGCGGCCGTGGCTGACGATGAGGCAGTGCAGCGCGTACTTGAGGTCATTCGGGAGGCCTGCGACGACGGGAGCGAGGGTCAGGACGATGCGCCGAGTGGGGCGCAGGAGGAAAGAGAGGGACGCACGGTGGTCGAGGTGGTAGAAGGTCTGGTCGCGTGTCGGCGGCTGCTTCGTCGTCGTCATGCGGGTCGGCTTGTCGTCGCCCTTCTCGAGCTTGTACACCGAGCCGTTCGGGGGCAGCCAGCCGAGCGACTGGGTGATGCGGTGGACGTGGCTGCGGCGCGAGCGAGGTCGTCAGGGCCCTGTCTGCGAGGAGGAAAGAGAGAGAGAGAGAGAGCGGGACGCACGTGTCGACAGCAAACGAGTCTCGGCCGAGGCAGAACAGGAGCACACAGGACGCCGTCTTGGGCCCGACGAGGTCGAAGCTGACGAGCTCGCGCATGGCGTCGTCGTCGTCGAGCTCGTGGAGCCAGTCGAGGCTCAGCTCGCCCTCGCCCGGCTTGAGGCCCTGGTCGTACACGTTGCGCTCCTCGGCGCGCTTTAGAACGCCCATGATGGCCTTGCTCTTGTTCTTGGCGAGGCCGCCGCACCGGATCGCCTCCTCGAGCTTGGCCTCGCCGCCGTCGAGCACGGCGCGGTACCCGGCGCGCCCGTACGCCGCGTCCATGCTCTGCTTGGCCGCGGTCGAGTTGCGGCTCGACGTGTTCTGGCTCAGGATGGTGCGCACGAGCGCGTCGAGGACGCTCGGGACCTGGCCGCACCCGGCGGGCGCGTCCTCGCGGTCGACGAGCACCTTGGGCCGCTCGGGGACGCCGTGCACGCTCCCGAGGAGGTCGCACACCTCCTGCGCCTCGGCGGGCGTCGGGCGAACCCAGTGCGGGAAGGGCGTGCCGGCCTCGCGCGCGGCCGTGTAGAGCGACTGCTTCTTCAGCGCCGAGGCGGACAGGGGCGTCAAGCCGGTCGTCTTCTGCGGCGATGCGGCGGCGGGCGACTGCTCCTTCTTGACCTTGGTCTTGCGGGTCGGCGACGGTGCCGAGTACTGCTCGTCGGCAGAGGACAGGGGCGAGTCGTCGTCAGCGGCGGCGGCGGCGGGCGATGTGGGGGCGCGCTTGCGAGGGGAGGAGCGGGTGGCCCTGGCGGGGGTGACGGCCATGGCAGAGGTCGAGAGCAAGCGAGTACAGCGGCTGAGCAGCAGAATGGTGCCGGCAGCGAGTGAAGAGAGAGCGGGAGAGCACGTCGACGTCGGTGGAGTGATGAAGGATCGAAGGCCGAGTTCTGTCGATCGCCGGCGCCCGGTGCGTCGTTGGCGGGCGCACAAGGAGCACAGCACTCTCAGCTACTCTCTGGGTCGCGCAGAGGTGCACCGCGACGAGGAGGAGCGCGAGGCGGGCAACTCTCGGAACCTCGCTCCTCTCGATGACGCGGACGGACGGGCTCAAGCGACAGACTTGCACTGCTCGTGCTACACACAAGCACGGGACATCGTCAAGGAGAGGCGGGAGATGAGGCGGAAGAGGCGCGAGGGGCAGTGACGGCGAGGCGGTCGAGGAGGGTCGCTGCGTCGAGGAGGAGAGGGCAAGTTCAATCGAGTTCTTCGCTCACAGCGCAGCGCCGCGCCCCTCGCACAGAGAGAGGCACCGCCGCAACGCGCCGAGACAGAGAGAACCGCCGACGCACCGTTCTCCCTCGCCTTGCCCTCAAGCTCGCGGTTGAGCTCCTTGACCTTCTCGGCGAGGCGGGTGACGACGAACCCCTTCTTGGCGAGCTGGGCCTTGGCGCTCTCGAGCTCGCGCTCGACCGCCGCCCCGACGAGCGACGACGAGCCCGCCACACTCGCGCCCGGCGCGCCCGCCCCGCCGCCCGCCGCAGCCGCAGCCGACGCCGACGCCGACGCGCGCCGCGCGAGCACCCGGCGCAGCTCGTCCGCCTCGGCGCGCAGCGCGCGCACGCGCTCGTCGGCAATCATGCGGTCCGCCTCGTGCGCCTCGCGGGCGCGGCGCAGCTCGGCCTCGAGGAGGAGGAGGTGGAGGGCGCGGCCGGGCTCGCCGGTCGAGTCGGCGGCCGCGGCCGAGGGCTCGGAGGCGGCGTGGTCGAGGGCGGTGGAGGTGCGCGTCGTGGAGCTGAGGAGGAGGGCCGAGGAGGGGCGGCGCAGGCGCGCGAGGTCCGAGTGAGCGGACGCGAGGGTCGAGCGGGCGTCGTCAAGCTCGGCGGACAGGGTGTCGCGGGCGGCGGTGACCTTTTTGAGGTCCTCGAGGAGGAGGCCCTGCGTCGAGAGGGACGGGTCAGAGAAGTCCGAGGGCGCAAGAAAGAGAGTCGAGGGAGAGAAAGCGGACGCACGACGCGCTGCGACGGCTTGGCCTTGACTTTGGCCTCGGCCCGCTCGGCGCGCTCCTTCTGCTGCTCGAGCTCGCCCTTGGACGCCGCGACGCTCGTCTCGAGGCGCTTTGTGCGCGCCTGCGCCTGCGCGCGCTCGAGCTCGAGTTCTGCAACCTGTCGCGCAAAGGGCGTCAGGACGGCCCCACGCGAGAGAGGGAGAGGGAGAGAGAGAGAGGGAGGGAGAGCGCGGCGGCGCACCTTTTGCACGAGCGCCGACACGATCCCAGCCTGGCGGTCCTCGAGCGCGAGGACCCTCGTCGTGCGCGCGGTCCACTTGCGCTCGACGGCGCCCCACCGCTCGCGGACGGCGTCACGCTCGTCGGCGACGTCGAGGCCCTCGGCGCGGATGGCGACGTCGAGGAGGGCGAGCTCGAGAGACGAGAGCTCCTGGGCTGAGGAGGGGAGCGAGGGGAGCGAGGGCGAGGTGAGGAGGAGGTAGTGGAGCCCGTCGAGGACGTTGCGAGACGCGTCGTCGAGGTCGCCGTTCGACAGCGGAGCGATCTGTGGCTCTGAACAGCGTCAGTGAGGTTCGCCTACTGAGCCAACAGAGAGTAAAGGGGAGAGGGGGCGCACCTTGTCCCGCCAAACCCGCAGCAGCTCCCCCTCGAGCCTCTCCCCCTCCGCCTCCTCGAGCCCCTCAAGCCCACACAGCCCGAAAGCCCCCTCGCGCGCCCTCTCGGCCCCACCAAACTCGCCCTCAAACGCGCTGACGAACCCGCCGAGGCGCTCCGAGCCCGGCTCGGCGGCGGCGGCGCTCATTGTCGAGCGGCGGCGCGCGCGCGGGCTCGCGGGCTCGTGCGCCTGCGCCCGCGCCTGCTGCTGCTCCTGGTGCGCCTGCTCCTGCTGCTCCTGCGCCGCCCCTTGCTCCTCGCCGCCGCCACTCGCCGCCGCCGCCGCAGCCGCGCCATAGTCCGTTTCGCGCCCGTCGCTCGTCAAGCGCGCCGGGACAGGCGGCGCAGGCGGCGGTGGGCTGCGCCACGTGATCTCGGGCGCGGGCCACGTCTGCGTGTCGTGCGCCGTCGAGGGCGGTGGGTAGGCGGGGTGGGAAGAGGCGGGCGCGGTGGGAGGGTAGACGGCGTAGTGGTGGGGGAAGGCCGACGAGGGGTGAGGCTGCGCCGGGTGATGGTGCGGGTGGGACGGGAGGTGGAAGGGCGTGGCTGTGCTGGGCATGTGGTGTGGGTAGTGCTGCTGAGGCGCGTAGTCCGGGTAGGCGAACGCGCCGTACGCGGGCTGACGAGGCGGAAAGGGAGGCGAGGCCGGGGCGAAGGAGGACGGGGACGAGGATGATGGCGCAGGCGGGCCGGAGGTGGTGCGCGGCCCGCTGATTGGATACACGAGCGAGGGGTTCGAGTAGGGCGAGGGCTGCGCGGCGGCGGGCGGGAGGGCCGCGGCGACGGGCTGCTGGACGGCTGCTGGACGGGGAGGAGCGGCGCGGTTGGAAGCGCTGCTGCTGGCGGACGCGGCGGCAGAGGGCCGACTGGGCAGGCTTGCTGCTGCAGTAGCACGCGCCTGGGTCGCCTGGAGGCGCTCCTTGAAGGCGCTCGCGCGGTCGAACGGCGGCGGTGGAGGACTCGAGGCGGCCGGCTTGGCGGGGAGCGACGCGGTCGGCGCCGCGGTGGGTGCGCCCGAGAGCGAGCTGCCGATGCGCAGGATGGGCGCAGGAGGAGCCATCGCCGTGCTCAGGAGCGGAGAGGGCGGGAGCGAGGAGAGCGACTCGGAGAGAGGCGACGCGGACGAGGGAGCGAGCGGCTGCGCTCGACGGACAGGAGCTCGATGTCTGGCTTTTGCTCGAGCATCTCTCTGACGAGCAACAGCGCGTCGACTGGGCTCGTACGCCTGCTTGCGACGGGCGTGCGTGCCGTGACGGGAAGCACGAGGAGAAGAGAGAGAGCTCGAGGCTCGAAGAGAGCGCCGTGCGAGCAAGTGCGAGGTTCGCTCGGGGGCGACAAGCGAGCTGTCGGGTTTGCGTTGCTGCACGTTGGCGGCTGAGCAGTTGCTGCGAGGCGACGAGAGGACGGAGCGAGGTCGGAGGGAGCGACGCGTGTGTCGGCGGAGGCACCTCGCTCACCTCGGTCGAGAAACACACGCTCCTCGTCCTCGCTCCTCGCTCCTCCCCGTCCGCACCTCGTCCGCTGCCCGACTCGTAGCCGCACCAGCTTTGCGCTCTCTCTCCCTCACCTCGGCCACCCGACCTCGCGCCCGTCTCTGCGCCTGCGCGCACCTCCCGACGGCGACCCCGCACGCTCAACTCTCGTCTTGCCTCGAAGAACCTTGGGTCCGCGCCGCACAGCATGGTCCGTTCCCGCTCGCGCTCCGACGTCGACAGGTGCGCCCAGCCTCTCTCCCCCTCCCCATGCGGCGCGCTCACCCTGGCTCGCACCGACAGGACCCCCGCCTCGGAGCACCACCCGTCCTCAACCTCGGCCACCTCGTCCGCGCCGTACCCACCGACGCCCGACCTCTTCCTCCTGTGCCGCCCTCCTCCATCCTCGTCCCGCCACGAGCTCGACGTCCAGGTCCAGCTCGTCCAGCCGGCCGACCTCGCCTCTCGGCGTTCGGCGCCCGAACCCCCGCTCGCCGCGCGGCCCGACACGCCCGCGAGCACAGCCGGCCGCTCGTTCGACGCCGTCGCAGGTGCCCAGGTCGGCGGCGGCGGCGACAGGGCCGGAACCGGGTCGCAGAGCGGTGGTGAGGATGACGACGAGCGCGCGCCGGGCCGGTCGCCGCGCAGCCGCAGCCCGTCCATCTCGTCGACGCGCACGGGCACGAGCCGCGACAGCACCTATACGGACGGCACGAGCGCGTCGGGTCGCAGCGGGAGCGCGAGCACGGGAGGCGGCGGCGGGGGAGGTGCGGGCGGCAAGCGTCGCATCGTGCCCCTCCTCGCGCTCGAGTACCACACGCTCCTCCCGACGACCGTCAACGACGCCGGGACCGGGCAGCGCGTCGCGAGGTTCCACCGCCGCGGGATCGAGCTCACGGGCTTGACCATGCTCGACCCGACCTACCTCGCGTCGACCACCTCGCCCTCACCCTCCCCGAACGCCGCCGCCGCCGCCGCCGTCCCCGAGCCGTCGTCGCCCGCGTTCCTCGCCGTGCCCGGCACCGCCGCGAGCCCGCACAAGGCCGACAGCGGCTCCTTCTTCACCAAGCTCAAGCGCCGCTCGGCCAACCTCTCGGCCGGCGCCGGCGCCGGCGCCGTCCCTCCCTCGCCGACGTCCTCGTCCTCGAGCGCCGCCGCGCCCGACTCGCTCCCGCCCTCGCCCCACCTCCTCTCGCTCGTGCGCACGCCGTCGCCGACGCCCAACGGCGCCGACTCGTCGCCCCGCTCGACGGTCGGCTACGCGTTCCTCCTGCGCAAGTGGCTCCGGTCCGACCTCGTCGACGCGCCGCGCAGCGTGCGCCTCGAGTGGACGCGCGCGCCGTTGCGGCGGCGCCCGGTGCGGTCTCCTGCTGCTGCTGCGGGGCGCCCGAGGAGCGAGCCACCGAGCGCGCCGGCGAGCAGGAGGGGGAGCGAGACGGCGGAGGCGGCAGGGGCGAGTGGTGGTGGTGCCGAGGACGAGGACGAGGGCGAGCCGGACGAGGAGGAGGAGGAGCGCGCGTGGCTGTGCACGCTCGTGTACCCGCTGTCGGGCGTCGCCGCGTCGCCGTCGCTCGCGGCGTCAGGCTCAGGCTCGACGAGCCAGGCGTCGTCACCAGCGCCGAGCCCGCCGCTCGGCAACAGCGCCGGCTTCCTCCTCCCTCACACCTCCTCCTCCTCCTCTCCGGCGCCCACCGCCACCGGGCCCCCGACGACCCGCCGCCTCCTCCTCGCGACGCTGCGCCCGGCGCCTCACCACCCCAAACTCGTCTCGACGCTCCTCCTCCCGCCCTCGCTCCCCTCGATCCCGCTCGGCACGTTCCACCCTTCGCACGGCCTCGTCGGCGGAGCCCTCGCGCCCGAGGACCTGCGCGACCTCGCCATGGTGACGGCACTGTGGGTCGCCGTGCGAGAGCGCCTCGGCGGGCTCGAGGGCGTCGCCGTGGGCGATGGGCTGGTCGGCGGTGCGGCGGCGGGCGGGAGCGCGCTCGGGCTCGCGGCGAGTCGCAGCGCGGGGCCGTCGGCGGGCGAGGGCCACGAGGCCGCGGCGGCGGCGCACCACCAGCTGGGAGGCGGCGTCGCGGCGCAGCTGACGGAGAAGGCCGGGCTCGCGCTCCAGATGGGGACCAAGCGGGCCTCGAGGGCGAGCGGGTTCGTCGGGAGGCTCTTTGGCGCGAGGTGAGGGCGGGGTGGTCTTTGTCTATCCAGCCGTGGCCTGGCAGTGCGTGTGCAAGTAGCTTGCCTGCCGCCAGCTAGTGTCCGAGAGGTCCGAGAGCGAGAGACCGGGCTTTCCTGCGAACGCGGCTCTGCGAGCCTCTCGACCGAGTCTCAGCCCTTGCGAGCCGTTGCTGTGGCACCCGCTTCAACGGCTCTCGCACGCGTACGTAAGGCGAGGAAGGGGGCGCTGAGCCGTTCGCTCGCGCTAGTGGAGCGGTCCCTCGCTCTTTGTCCTCTCGACGCGTCGAGCCTCTCGCTTGGCTCCGTACCCATCACCAGCACCGCACCAGCCATGCCCTCACCGCCCGCCTACACCCCCCTCGCCGCGCACGACGCACCCTCCTCGTCGTCGTCGCCCGCCTGCACCGCCCCGCTCTCCGCCAAACTCGCCAACGAGGCCGCGCGCTGCGATACGGACCGCTGCACCACCACCACCACCACCACCACCACCAAGGAGACGACCAGAGTGCGTACTATACGGCCGAATAGCCATCGAGGGGAGCGGCCGCTCGTTCTTGCGTCCCGACCTCTGTAATGGACGTCGTCGCTCTCGGCGTCGTCTGCTTTGCCTTGTGCTGGGCACTTATTGCGTCTCGTCTCT